CAAGGTCAGGTTTACCTGGGGGGGAGGGGACCCTTTTCGAGGCCAAAACCGTGAGTTTTTGATAGGTCGTGACGGCGGTATTAAAAAAATACTCTGTTTTACAGCACGGAATGGACTAGTTACCGCGTGCGCCCGCCCGGAATCGGCAAGATAAACGTTTAAAAACATTGAGTTTTTTGACATTTGGTCTTCGATTTTCGGCTTCAAGACGTTCTTTGTTTCATGTCTCTTGTCGGGCGGCCGGGGCACCAGATTTTGCGATTTCGGAGCTGTTTGGGCGACAGTTTTCGCCGTTTTTGCTGGGCAGAAACATTGGTTTTTGCTGTGTTTTTGTAAATTGCCTAGGCTTGACGTCTTTGCACGAAAACGTAAAAAACCTCGCAAATAGCAGCGTTTTTGGCGGCCACGTTTTTGAAAACGTCGCAAATTGCAGTGTTTTTTGACAGCAGGCTCAAAAACACTGTAAATAGCAGTGTCTTGGGCCACGGCAAGCTCAAAAACATCGATATTTACAGTGTTTTCTCCCTCGCAAAGCATAAAAACACTGAAAAATATGGTAAAAAGTGGTGCTTTTGGCCACAGCAAGCTCAAAAACGTCGATATTTGCAGTGGTTTCTGCCTCACAGAACGTAAACACACTGTAAAATACGGTACATGGTCGTGTTTTCGGCAACGTCTACGTCACAAAACTCCGTCAATCACGGTGCTTTGCCGAGATGGAAGAATCAAAGGGACCATTCAACCAGCGCGTCAAACTTCCAGCTGCAGGTTGCTTAACTGCTTGAGACTCCATCTCGTCAGTTACTCATACCTGCTCTTCAAAAAAGATACTGGGATGTTCAACTCTTAACTGACTCATTACTCTTCATACCTGCTTTTGACTCTCAGGGCCCTCTGCTCTCTTGCCGCTGATTAGCAGACTGTGGCTTAATGGAGGGGTTTGTAGAAACGGATTGGGGAGTTCAAGATTCTACGATGCCAATGTTTTGCATATATCTATTATTCTTTCGTGGCGGTGCGGGCGGACCTAGCCGCGGAGCGGCGTGAATATCTTGATGAAAAATGTAAATGAGTTTGAGGTGAAGCTGCACCCTGGAGTCTGTGTTTTCCAAGCGCGTGCGACAAAGGGGCACATAGGCTATTCATAGGTCTGCACGTTCATCTTTGCGGACGTCTTCTGATTGTATCGCTGCATAATTGCCGTGTGATGTTGCTTAGGGCGATTATGCCATGAAAAGAGTTAACCTGTTTGTAGTTGAAACCAACATCACACGCTCTGATTGTAGTTGAAAAGACCTGTTTGAATCCAACCTTCCTGGAGGCTGGTGGGGTAGCCATCTTCATTGGTCGCCTCTCTCGCCGAATGATATCAATCAGGTCAGCCCTGGTCTGCGTGAAGCTTAGAAGAGGTACGCAGCGAAGAGGTACCCTGCCTCCAACAATCAATCCCTGCACTCACATCTTTTCCCAGGGGTCCAACATGGTCCACTTATGGTGTTTTTTGCTTCAGAAGAGGTATGTCCGATATTGCCAGATGATGCAGCACTGCTCCAAGGTGAACAAATCATCTGCATCGGTGACCCATCTCTAGCTCGGTGTCTTGCCTAAGTTACAAGAAGATGAGGAACACATAGGAACGCAAGCTCCCAACACGGGCGGTCAGCAGCTGTTCGTGGTGGGTCATGAGGAACGGGGCCCAATGGTTCCTTCGAGTCAATAATGTCCATCCGCAGGGTTTGTAAAAATCAGGGGATGGATGTTGATTTTCCCAGACGTCTCCCTCAAATCGGGGTCTCGACCCCTATGAAGAAACGACGCACCCCCTCCAACCCCCCACAGACCGTACACGGGCCACCCTCCATCCCCCTCCATCCCAGGCGCTACGGCGTCTTCATAGCTCTTTTCCCACTCGAAGAGACGTGTGTAACACCTCACGAGCGACACGTTCTCCGCCCGACCCGGGAGCAGGGAGTGGCCCAGAGCCTCCGCCCCAACGAGCGACGCGTCTCTCTCTCTCTCTCTGGTGTGCGGACGCACCGAGCGACGCACCGTTGACGGAAGAGGACATCTGCAGCTGCCTTTTTTGGTCCGAAAGTGAGGCTCTGTGATTGGGCCCCAAGGTGGACTATGACTCCTAACAGTGTCCAACCTTCCATGCAAAAAAGGGCTTTCGAGTCGTTCTTGAAATTTGTAATGTGATGATTTAGGGCAGCCGCAGCCCAGTAGCCAGGATTTCGCATGGTTGAATCATGTTTGGTGTGTTTGAAGGTAGCAATGACTCAAGCTTCGATACTTAAGTATACCTCGTTAATTAGGATTCACTCGTCCATTCATCAATGGAACATCATGGAACCATCTAAAAAACCGCATGAAATTCCGCCTTTCGACCGTCTCTCCAAGGCACAAGGCACGGTTGGACAAGAGCGTCGCACGCGGCAGGGACCTCGGGATGTCGGGACCGTCCCGGTCCGGGTCGGTCCGGACAGTCCGGTTACTACGGAGAAACAGAAGCAGTACAGGTCTCACCGTCTCTCCGTCTCCGAGTTTTGGAGGGTTGGGAAGGGCCCGGCCTTTGGAGGTTTCGACCTGGCAGTGAGGTGCTGGTAGAGGAGGTCTTGCCCAGAAGTCGATCAGTGGATTTCAATTTTTGTTAGGGCATCAAGGGTAAACGTGGCCTGGGTTGGCTGTGGATGAGGCACATTACACCGAAGCTGAGTAAAGTGGCAATCCGACAGAACCGAATACGCATGATACGATAATAATTTTGCTCCTTGGTTGGCTAACTACAGAAGAGGCCTTTCCTGCCAGTTGTTTGGCATGGACAATGCCCCAAGCCTGGGAAGCATATGGAAGCATCCTTGCTTTGATATGTGTCACGACATGTATGCCTGTTGTCACCGCCCCCCCCAAAGCAAAGAAAACTTGTAAACAGGGCAAGATCTCTGACAAGACCGTGTGTTCGGATTGAGCATCCATTGCACATCCCAAACTCCCACAAAACCGATGGATGTCCTCTTCCCCCTCACTTGTACCATCTCGATCGGCCACAGGGTCGAGTCTATCAAATCCGTCCAGGATCAGCTTGCGTCCGTTCTCACCATGTGGTAGACTACAAAAATCGCCCACAGACTGATAGAACGCAAGCTACCACAGGGTCGAACGTCCGTTCTCGAACGCCCACAGACATCGACCCACCAACATCGCCCAGACACTCGAGACCTTCAGACTCAAGAGCCTGGCACACGACCGGACCCAGAGCGGGCGGACAGCCCTTCGGCATCCGCCGTGCCCGGGGGGAGAGAACGGCATGGACCGGTGGCTGGTGGACGCCAAACGAAGCCCCGGTGACCGGGCCCAAAACGCAGCGTTGACGCGTCGTGGACGCCGAAGCCCGTCACGAGGGTAGATGTATTCGTGAGGCTCAGCGAGACCTTTGGAACAGGTGTTGGAGACTGATTCGCCTATAGAACCGTTGTCTATACTTCCGGCTTTGGAGAGTTCTAGGATGTTCAAGGAGGATGGAGGTTTGTCCAAATGCTGGACTCTTGGTGATGGACAAAGACGAGCTGGATGTTTTGTTTTTTTTGGCATTCCAAGTGCGAAATCGCATGGCATTCTACATCGTCCACCTCTTGTTGGAAAGACCATAACATTCCAAACGTGTTCACCTGATACTTGGGAAAACAAAACATATTGAACATCCTAGAATTAGGTTCCGCCTCTTCTGGCAGGGGCAAACTCAAGGAGCAACACCTTCACCTCCTCTGAAAGAAAGAAACAAAAGAACAAAACATAGATAAAAACAATACCAACATTGAACATGGAGAAAAAGGAATCCCCTGTGTAACACTGTCAACCACTAGCCTCTTTCCGGCGCCGTTTGAGTGGCCTTGCTGTAAAGGGAGAGCGCCGTGTTCCATTCCTGCCGCTACAAGAGGCTGGGGTGTGACGCCAGCATGATCGCGCTCATGGGCGAAGGCAAAGATGCCTAGTACATCTTAAAGTACAATTTCTCCATCTACACTGTGAACCAGACATCCGAAGACTTCTGGGTTCGAGGACTGAAGCTATTTGCATCTTGCACAGAAGCAACGCGTAGCAACACTGTAGAACACACAGTCACATCTGCTGAGATCGCTCTGTATATGTCTGATTGCCTCGATTCATCCCACCGAACTCCTTGTCTTTGAAGGCTTTGTCGGCGGCCTGCTTTGTCTCCTGCTTTTGGTCATTCGACTCCAGTCTTCCAGGTGAAATGAGGACAAATTTGTGTTACGAAGTTAAGAACAGAGTTCATATTTGACCCCAAGGCATTTCCCACAAATCCCTCTGGATCCACTGCCACCCTCTGAAAAGGTGATGTCTGGATCCACTTCACCAGTCCTTGTTGGTTTGTTTCGCGTCCAGTCCAGTCGGTGTCAACCTGAGAAAGAGTCCATTCGTGGATTCCTAGAGAATGGGTGGACAGGGTGGAACCTTTTCAGGGTACAGAGACATTGGACTTCGAAGACGTGATAGTTCAGGACCTCGTCGGAGGTCCAGCGGTCACAGCGGTCGCCGGCCTCGGAACCTGCGATGTTCTGAAGCATTTGGGGTGATTTGGGACTCATGCCATATGGATGATTGGACCTTTGACGTGTGTTAAACATCTTTAAACATCATATCCTGGAACCTTGGAACATCCTGGAACTTTGGACCACGGAATACCACGGAATACCATGGACATCTTCCCGAAGCCAGCCCATCCACTCTCAGTGGCTTTGGACACCTGCTTCTTGGGGCACATGTAGGTGTAGGTGTGCCAAGCGTTGACGTCCCAAAATGGTCGCCATGGTCGCGTGCATGAAATTCGACTCCCTCGCCTCCCAAGGCTTCTTCTGGACCTCCTGAGGTGGTTCCACTTCTTTGGCTGTTTCGGCTGCTTCGGCCTCGCATCTGAGCGTCAAAAATTCCGAGCTCCTTCCACTTCCAACTAAACCCTTATGCCGCCCTCCAGCCCCTCATGGCCCCTCCACCTGCCAGCAACTCCTCCTCCCCTTCGCCTCAGCCGCTTCCACGGAGGCTTCGAAGCCTACGGGCAGTGGCGCATTCGAGAGGCCGCCGTCCAGCTTCCGCTGCCTCTCCAGTAAGGCTTCGGCGCCTGGCCGCGGGCCGCGCATGGACGAGCGGCGGGAGCGGAGTGCTGGAGATGAAGCAGATGGACCGCGTACATGGTGATGTGACGTTGAAACATGTTGAAACCGCCCACCCTGGGTGCTGGTTTGAAAGGGGGGTGTAAAATGTTGTAAGTCTGTAAATCAACTTCAATTTACCAACAATTTGTTGAATCGTACTGCGGCAAATGGTCAGTGAAGCATGACTGAACTCTGATACTTTTGGTATATGTATTTTGGAGCCAATGCCCCCTTCAGGGGATCCATTTTCCGGTGGAGGTGATCCTCCACAACACTCCGATTCTGATTGCTCGTGGGAGACAGGTGAGGAAAAATGACTTGGCTGATAAGGAAAAAACCGTGCTGCGGCGGTTTTTTAGGAAACTCAGGTCATGAAGCGCCCCCACAGCGAGCTCGATCCATGGCACAACCCCCAGTGACAACTAATTCAATGAAGTACACTCATAGTGTTTGATATTGCTTGGTGGTCCTCCTGTCTTGTTGTTTTTAGGTTTTCGAGGTAGATTCGTAGTCTTCGCGTGCCGGACAGGGTATCACTTGCTGATCTTGCTGATCTTGCTGGATGTGCCCAGGATTTCGACCCTGGCTGCGGCTCCGGACGCTTCTGTCTGAGCTCACGAAGACGCCTCGAGGGTCTGATGTCGAAGTGCGATGAAAACCGCCAAATGCAGAGTAGTTCAAAGGTGGATTGGCAGAACATTGCAGAACTATGTAGAACATTGTAGAACTTCAGGCTTCTGTGTCCGTTGAGTTAGTTGCAGGGTATACATATAGTTCAACCAATTTCACGACTCAAAGGAGGCGGTTTCAACTCAAGAACTGGTTGATATACACATGCTTCAATCAAAACCACCACCTGAGGAAATGTTGATTGTTCAACGACCCATCGGGTACAACGATGTTCAACGATGTTCAATGTTTAACGGCCTCTTGTGGAGCTTCAACTCCTTCAGGATGGGCTCCATCAGGAAATGAAGCTGTTCACACTCCTCCGCACCGAAGAAAAAGAACAAATGAAAAAACAAAAAACGCGCCCCGCTCGTGAAACCACGCGTCGGACACCTTCGATCGACATCCAAACATTATCCGGAAAAATCCGCCGACTCCGGCTTAGGCCGATGAACGTGAGCATCAGCAGAGGGGGGCCGGCGTGTTCCTGTTGAAGGACTCCGTTGAGCGGTGGGCGATGTCACATTGCCGTCACACTGACAAACACTTGCCAAAAACACTCCCGCTTCAATGACATTCGTCTAAATTCTCTTGTGGGACCGTCAAGATTTTTTGCGGGACAAGCGTTGCCCAGGATTTGGCCCCGGGTTCGACCCCCCTGCGTTCAACTACTTCCTCACCCCTTGCTTTGCGGTATTGGGCGTGCCGCCTACACGGTAGGAACCCCCAAGGGATACCGCGCATGGGCCGCCAGGGTCTATGTCTTTTCTTCCTGGCGGCACGCGCGCAGTTCCTTGGGGCGCCATGCGTGGCTCGTGTTCGGCGAGTTGCCGCTGTAGCCAAAGAAAAGCTGTAGCCGAAGAAAAGAAACCGAACGACACGGATAGAAAAGCGTTGAAGTGTCGTGGGCCACGTGGGCCGCGTGCTGAATGGCGGGAACTGGGGGTAACATCAGCTCGAAGTCGGTTGCTGAAGAGTCCCTGGTATAAACAAACACCTGAGAAGCTGCAAAACGAAAGCCAGCGTTACCATCGGCCTCTGAAAAACTACACCTTGCCATTCAGATGATGCAAATGATGCAAATTGCATTTCTTGCATCACCACCCCCTCAAAAATCACAAAGAATCACCTCCAAAACAACCTCAAAAGCCTTATTTCGGTGGACCCCTAAACACCACCTAATTTGGACTTTACGTAGCCCTTTCTCGGGCCACCCCCCCCACACCCCCTACTTACTCACTTCATTCACCAAACACAACTCAGCTGGCGCCTTCTATGAAGGCTGGCTTTCGTAATAATGGACATGCATGAGATGGAAGCACCACAAAAAGGAGACATCTTTGCAAATGAATTCTAGTGCTAGATATTCCAACATCGATCGATCAAAAGGTTGACGAATCATGATGAGTTAAAGATCATTAAAGTACGTTCATGACTCTCTACCAAACCAGGAGGGAAGTCTCATCTTCCACATATTCCACCACTTCTCGACCGCTCCACTATGGGCCTCGAGGGGTCGGCGGGCACCCCCTAAATAGTAACTATTGATAACTATTGTAACAATCATGACACATATCATGACTATTGTAAGTAATTATTGTGCCATATTGCGCCTCCAAAAGCCTGCAGCTTTAGTGCTGCCCTGCACGACACAACCCAACGAGACCCTTTTGCTCAAAATTGAAATGAATAGGTGTTCATAGGTGTTCATTGAGCCAATTCAAATCCATTTTTGAGAATGATTGCCAATCTGATTCAATCAGAGTGAGTCAGCTGATACTTCTAGCCCTCCCGCAGCATCCCCTGATCAAAGACATGAGATCGGATCTCTTAGATGACAACGGTCACCCCGTCACGTCACTCCGCCCGTGTTGGGCGTCCGCAGATCAATTCCAGTCTTTCGCGAAAGCGAAAGCGGGTACACACATCGATCGACCGCCGTCCTCATCCTCAATCTCACATTTCTCCTCTTCCGACCTGAACAAGCCGCTCCCCCCCGCCCTCGGTGCCCGGGACATTGGGAATCGGACGACCATTGAGGTGTCAAAAAACGGCGGGTGAATCAAACGCCACATCCCTGCGGGTGAAGCCGTACGACGGAGATGACAATCCAGACCCTTCGAGGGTGAAGAGAAACTACAATCATATTATATATATAATATATATATAGAGAGAGAGAGTCTATGTACAAGGTTTTATTACTCCCGCATGTTCTTGATTGGCATCTTTGCAGAATGTAGAGAAGCGAGGCATGGGGCAGCAACAAGCGGCAATTGGCCAGCTGGCAAGCTCAAGGCAGATATCCAATGTATGGATAGCAGCGATTGGAAGTTTCTCCCCATTTTGAATAGACCTCCCTGGATTCACAAGTCTTGGATTCCCGGGATCTACAGTAGAAATGAGTGATTCAAGAAGACCTTGAACTTGGGGATCCTGTTGTTTTGCATGTTTAGGATTAATGAACAAACCGGACTGCTCAGGTTTTCTTCTGTGGCCGTCCGTGGCTTGGAAGTGGGGAAACCTTGTTTCGGTCTGAGTTGATAAAAGGTCTGGTCTGAGTTCACAAAGTGTCCTTGTATCTTGCAAATATTAGGAAATACTAGGACACGTTCTTTTAGGACTCAGGGGTCACTGACCGGGTGTAAAGACAATGCTTTACCAATGAACATGTGAAAAGGTGCTCACAATACTTGCCGCCAAGACAAGCTGGTAGACTGCAAAGAAGGGAAGAAGACAAAGACTTTCTGCACAGACTTGCCAACTCCATGGATCGTCTAACTCCATTGTTTTTCGAAGTTAGAGTCGGCTGAAAGAGGTCGAGTTCCTGTGTGCTTCCGTTACCTACCGAACCCGCACAGCCAAGGAACTGATCAACGGTAGAATTACTTGACTACCTGGAGGGTTTCCTTGTTTCATTACCAGGTCAGGAGCAACGACTCAGTTGTATTGTATACAGGATCTCAAGTTCTTTAATCTATGCTGGAAGATGACGTGATGTCTATGCTGCATGATCTCAGCGGCTGCATCTTTAAGTTAGGGTCTATGTATTCTATGTATATGGTGTCTTTCCGTTTTCTCTTTGGACCCTGGACCGGGTCTCCCGACGGTCCAGGAGGGATGCTCCACTCCTCCACTTCCTTCTTCCTGGAGTTGATCGTTCGAAAAGAGAAAAGCAATACATCATGTGTTCGGATAGGATGAGATAGGATGTTTTTCTTTAAGCAAATAGTATAATCATGAGATAGCAACAAAGAAAAGATAGGATGAGATGGGTGTATTGGGGGCGTTTGAACGGCCACCCGGCCATCCTGCTTTGCACGTCGCGGCCTCTGTTTTCCCTTACAGTATCCGACTGAGGTCTAAGTTAGACACGACGATCACTGAAAAGGACCGGGTCCAATGAACCTTGTCATTTCTTGCGATGGCCTCTTCGCCTTCTGCTCTCATTCTTGGGTTTGTCATGTTGGCAGGACAAAAAAAAGGATAGAAGGTTCTATGACAAACACGGTGATGATACACCGTGGCAGTTCAGGTGGGCAAATTCTGGTTCAACCTGGGCCAAACTAGTTCACTCGGGCTACTCACCAATCTCATTCAGTCTATCCCAAGCTCAAGAGAGTGGTATTGAGGATGGCTGTGATGGGCGGACGAAGCGGACGAACATGACGGAAGAACTCGCCGCCCAGCTGGGCTGATCTGGTGCGAAGGCAATGAGGGTGGCTGAATCCAAAGTAGGAATCCATATTGAATGGATATTCAGGGCTCACTCATTCCCTCATTGTCCCTCATTCCTTACGAATGCACCAGCCACTGAATGGCTTCCTTACCCATCCTAGCGAGCTGCAGCAACAGAGAACTGGATCCTCCAACCGGTGCTTCAGCCCGCACCGTTCGATCTTGTGCCCTAACCCTTCGTCGCTTCGTAGCTTCGCGCCAAGCTTCTTCCGCCGGTACGCCACGAAGGTCTCGTTCCGCACCTGGAAGGATACGCACAGCGGGAACGCATCGGTCCGGCGGTGGGCCGCTGGACGAAGTGTGCGACAGGTTCGGTCTCTTTCCTGACGAATGAATTGCAAGACTGGACTGACATCTGTCGTTCGTGCCAGAGGTTTTGGTTGAAAGATGTTGAAAGTCACAGAAAAGAGCTCGTATGCTTCTGATGAGCTCATGTGCTTCCTCGAACACCTCCCCCTCCACCACGCAGGTGTGATCTTCCGCCTTGCGGCGCTCTTCGATCTTCGCCTGGGTGCAAGAGCTCGGGTGGTCACGTGGGCGGTGGACGTGCCATACACGGAAGTGGAAAGCCTCCTGTTTGTAGAGGAAAATGGTCTTCCAAGGGGCCATGCCATCCACTTCCATCTTAGTTATCTTAGATCCAGGGAGTGCAGGTACAGAACCCAACCTGTGAGTGAATCAAAATCGATCAACATATCCTGGATATCCTCCATCAAAACCACCCCGGCATAAGTAAACCTTTGGACTGAATGCATGGATCCAAACAGTGATTTTTGAACAAAGCCCACATCATTGGAGGATGTCTATTGATTTGTCCTGTGGCTGGTCATGACAAAGCGGAGGAACCGCTGCCTGTGAAGAGGCTGAGAGATCAGGTTCAGCTTTCGTGGCTGCTGGATCTACTGCCAGCTTTGAAGCCAGTTTGCGAGCAGTACATACAGTACACGTAACCATGTAGACCCAAACCTGGCCTAATGATTACCACTCTCGCCCAAGAAATCGCACTTGGCATTGCCTGTGTGATTTGTTTCAACCTTGCTCCACCTCCAACCGGCACATCCAGTCTCTGTCTGTCTTTCTGGCCAAACCTGGAGATCGTTGAAGCGCTGCTGTTCCGCATTGAACCATCTCTGTAGCAGCTGGCCATGAGTCTTGTGCCAAGTCAGGGCCTTGGAACGATTGCGAGCATCCAGGATGTAGCCACAGGAGCTCCCAAGAAAGTTTCGAGATGTTTAGAGTGCTTCTGGGGGGTCGCTTAATATAGGTATATCATGCGGCAGATCAGATCCCAATGCAATGAATGATGCAGCATCAATCATCTTGATTACTTTGGCGGTTGCTCAACAAAGCCAAGCTATATGTAGGTGTGGGTTCAGCCACTGGGTGTTTGAAAGATCTGGGATTGTATGAAGGAATATACTACGTCCGAGATACTCCAACCAATGACGCCCGTCAATGCTCCAATAACGCACAGAATCGTTCGGCAAACAAAACCCGTCTGAGGCTGAGTGAGACCACTATCCCAAACATGTGCTCCTGAGGATTCCTGAGGTCCCTCAGTTTGTGCTCCTTGATGTTCCTGTTCCTTTCAAGCTGCAAGAGACCCGCCATCTGGCTTTCTAGAAAACTATATACAGTTGTACATAGTTATCCTCTACTGTACCCTTCAGCTTGACTGTAGGGTGTCAGACACATCTCTTTCCACGTCCTCGCAACTGACCCTCCGCCGGAACCGACCTCGGCTGAGAGACCAGGTCGTGGAGTCCGAACGGAGTCCCTCCGGGATCCGCACCCATTCGCCAGTCTCCAGTTCGATCCTTACACCGGTGCTTTGAAGGTGGAAGCAAGGGAAACAGGCGGACCACCGAAACCCGAGCACAAAGGTGGCTGTGTGGCTCCTTCTTTCCGCCTCCGCCTCCTTTTGCGAGCGAGTCAGAGATGTGTCCTTCTGAAAAGGGGGCCAATCCGAAGGTCTTTGGGACGAGCGAGCTGTGAAGTGTGAGGGACATCACACTCCACCAGCTATTTGCTGTACTGAATAGAAGCTGCTGCCGGGCAGCACTCGGAATCACCAACAAACAGCCAACCAAGAAATGCCGGGCTGATCGGAACATCGCCAGCGAAAAATAGGGGCAGAAACCTTGGGTCAGTCAACATGTTGTTTCGTCACAATTGTGATGATTGTGGTCTAATCTGATCCGCAAATGGTTCTATGCAGAAAAACCTGAGGTGTTCGCCATGGGATGCTTCCCTCCGGCCTTCCGGCCTTCTCCGTTGTGGAGGAAGCGGAGGAACCGTTGGCCGATAGCTTTTCCACCCCCTACAGAGAAGTTAAGGGGAACGGACCTCATCTTACTGAAGTTGATCCATACAAAAACGCTACTTACTTGGCAAAAGACCGGATTTTACTGGGTCGGACTGGACCTGGGATGATCTGGGATGGTGGTTTGGGAGGCCTTGAGAGTGTCAGCCTGAGCCATTCCATTGTTTATGAGCTGAACACGATTCACCACGATTCGTGGCCCCGGGATTATCCTTCCCATGTGTCCGTCTGACATCCGAAAGAAGTTTCCGCCACACCCAACTGAGGCCCAAAAAAGCAATGACACATAGGTGATTCTGGTAGTTACAATACCGACACTGCAATATATCACCTGTATATAGCTCCAAACTGACCCGAGCTGAGCCGAGCTGCCAATAGTCATCAGTGACCTGATACCGATGGCACCAATGACACTGACCGAAGCGAAGGGAAGCGAAGCGGTCCCGGTCGCTTCAAAATGATACATCATCGTTCCTCTTGTTGAAACACTTTTCTGGCTGTGCTCGAAATGGAAAATACCCAGCACCAGCACTGGCACCAGCCACTGCCAGGTAGTATAAAGAAATACAACTCATTGCGAGCACCACCCAGTTCAGGTGGTTATTGGATGGAAACTGGTCAGGGGCCGGGGGGGGAGGTCTATACTGAAACCACACCACTTGGGCGGTGCCTCCTTACTCCTTCAGAGCACCGGTGTTTTGATCTGACCTCCAGGGCAGACGGAGGTTCTGGAGCACGGAGCAGGGGTCCGAAACACCTATGATGAAGACCGGCATCACCCTCCGGCGGATTCATCCAGCCACCCAGGTGGAAAGCATGCTGCAAATGACCCCATGTTTTTCGGACACAAATAGCATCAAATAGCCAAACGCCAAATCCGGGTGAACTCATCGTAACCATCTGAGGCACCACATCTCTCCGAATGATCCCATCCTCCCATCCAACTCTGGTCTCGCCCAGCTTCCCAACAACGTGTCTATCAAAGTCGCTGTGAATTTGTCTGTCCTTTCACCACGAACATGGAACATGGCACGGAATTGATGACTACACTGACTCCACCACACCTTTACCACTCATACTCATACTCATACCATCTTTACAGTTGTGGTCGCTACCAGACCAAGAAAACTGACCTATAACCAACCGGTGGAACGTCGAATGCGCTACATTCTTGGAGCATCTCATTAGCTTTAGTCAACTCCATGGCCTGCCCCCAACCGGTGGAGCCTCCCATCCGGTCGGTCCCTCCGTGCGCCGTGCCTTCCAGGACTTGGCTTTCACCACTTCGTCGAAGACCAAGCGCCGGCTGATGGGCCCATCTTCCGTGGGCTTGGTCCGAACCACCATGGCCGGCTTGAAGACCTGGGACGATAGGGAGATCTCAGGTGCAGGTCAGTGTGTTGGTGTTGGTGTGGTTGTGGATGTTGTTGTTGTTGTTGTTCTTGTTGTTGGTGGCGGCCATGACCATGGAAAGAACAGAAACGGCCAAAAGCTGCCAGCCGGGCGGCGCAAACCCACTGGTTTTGGTAATTGTGCGTCTGCATGAACTCATCCACCCACTTCTTCTCCTCAGTTTAAGACTCGCGGTGGATTGTTGTAGTAGTAAGTAGACTCTGCAGTCGTTCGTGGATCCAACCACTAAATATATAGTGTACGATCTATCGTTGAACTGCAATGCGTTTCAAACCGTGCTTCCATGTTTCGGTGCCAACTGCGATCTCCCAATCCTTGCGTTTCTAAAATCGCCTGCATCGCTTACAGATCAGGTTTCCGCTGCGGAAGACGGCAGATCGATCTGGCCGCCTCGTTCAGCTGAGTGGCCGCTTGTAGTTGGAACTCGAAATTGGATCGGAGCCTTTGAAGGGCGGTTCAGCACGAGGTTTTTGCACGAGGAAGTGAAGCAAGCGGGTCGTGGGTGGGTCAGTTGTGACGGTCAGACCGTGGGTGTTGATAGGGACCATCGACAACCGTAGGAGGCTGGATTGGAAGGAGGCTGGATTTGTTGGCGGCTTCGAGATCGGCCTCGTGGCTCGAGTTGCCAGTCCTCGAGGACCATGCCAAAGCCCATGGGAAGTGCTCAGTTGTGAGTTGCTTTACAGGAAGAACATCCCTTTGCCTCATCTTAGTCTCTTAGTAGCTGCCCCCAGTCAAAGCGTTATATCAAAATGATGTGGTGCATGCGGAACTTGAAGGGATGGATACGAAAAAATCACCCTATCCTGCCTCAGTCACGTCTCACTATATACGTCATCTTTTGGAGCGCAGAACATGTGCAGAACATCACATGTGCACCAGGAGAGAGGGATAAACCAATCCTTCAAACCCAAACGCTCCATGTATTTACATACATTGGCTTGGTCAATGTCGGCATATCTTCCATACATGGAGCGACTGGGAAATGGTCTAGTTGCAATGGTCTTAAGTCTCACTTCTCAGTTCTACCAAGGCTTCAACAGAATTCGAAACATCCTCTCGCACAGGGTCCGTTTGCCCCCCCCCTTCTGTCGGATCACCCCGTCGCTCCCACCCGTCCCGGGTCCGGAGGTGTGCCCAAGGCACCCGTTCATCTCCCGCTCCACTCGGTCCAGTTCTCTCTTCCTCAGAACAACGCGGGTCTCGAACGAGTACTCGCACGCAAAACTTGGATAGTGGGAGGTGCGTTACGCACGTCCCGTCGCTGATTTCGGTCGTTTTCGGGCGTTTTGAACTAAGACTGGGGACTGAGAGATACCGAGATCCTCTTGAACAGAGTCACGAGATACCGTGGATGAGTCCAGCTCGAAACACATCTTGAAAACACCTCCATGTTGTTCTTGCGATGGAAATGGAACCTGAAAGACCACCCGGGGTGGACCTGCACACCGAAAGACTTCAGCTGAAAGGAGTTCCAAGAATCTTGTCCTTCTCCAGAAGCTCCCGCAACTGCCCCTCCTGCGACGGGGTATATAGCATTTCTTGCAAAGAGATGACAGGATGGTTTTCATTAGCACCTCCCATGCTCAGCCAATCTCCGCCACTCCATCACACCATGGATCTCCAAAGGTCCATCAGTTCATGCCGCCGAACTGCCCAGCACCTGTCAACCAGCCCCTCCGCCATGACTGCTTAATGACAGCGAACGATGTCCAACCACACACCCTGTCCACCTGTCTGTCCACAAGCTGTCTTGCAAAAAAAGAATCCCCCCAAACAGCCCCACCCACCTCTTCCCGAGTTGGACCTCCACCGGAGCTCGCGCACGACGCGTGGGACCCCCGTGCATTTTTCACAGGGTCCTCCTCTTGGCGTTCGCCCGAGAGCCGTTCCTTCCGCTCCGTCCAGTGGCGTTTCACCTGCTCCAGGTCGCCTGAAGCGGGGTCGAGTTGGACTCCAAAGACTTGCAGGCTGCAATGCCTAAACTAAACAGCTGGGTGAAGTGGACGTGGTTAAAAACCACAACTTATAATAGGAAACAGCACGGTCACTCCTAACTTCGATGTAGATCTTGGGTGATGATATTTGCAATGTCCCATGATGTCCCATCTTCATCCTTGACTTCAGGACAAACATATTGTAGATGATGTTGGTTTTGTTGCAGGCCTTTCGTTAAAGAAATAGTGATAATTGTCTACCGACTATTACAGGTAATGGGTCAAACTCAATATGAGATATGAGATATATAGTTTATATATACATTTATTGTTTAAAAGCATTTAAAAAAAAGTATAAAACGAGCACTCAATCATCCCATCAGTCTCTTATAGTCTCTTGCTTCTCCGATGCCAGTGGCCTTGCTTCTCCCGGATCAATCGAGTCAACTCCTCGCAGGCGCTTTTCGGAGCACGACGTGACCGGTCGCATGACCGGTCGTCTGTGCTTGGTCGTCTCGTCTGGCTGATGAACTGGAGCGGCGAACGAGAACTCTCAGCTGCCCCAAAAACTGCAATGCTCTGCAATGAAGGGGTGATAGGAAGTGAGAGCAGAGTTCTGGGTATGTTCATCGTGTACAGTAGTATGACAGCCTCTGCATAGAATTGAACAAGGGCTTTGGTGTAGCACGGTCGGATACGATGGCCAACTCATCTGCCAGCAAGCTCTCTGCCAAAACCACTTTTATGAAGCACTGCATGCGCACACCCTCCGGTGTTTCACAAACGCCCTTCGCCAGTCCTTCTCTTCATCGCCTTCTTTCTCCGGGATATCAATGTTCCTCAGAACTTGGAAGACATGCAAAACAAGACTCCAGGCTGGCACTAAACCCAGCGCTATACAGGAGACCATGGAGCCTGCTCTTTTTTAGAACTCCGGGCTGGCACTAAACCCTCCTCAAAATGGCATGCGTTCTTGTCTTTTTCCTGAAGCGTCGGAACCAAAACGAACTGACCAACGAATCTGTCATTTCAGTTGATTCCTCATATGAATCTTCTTCTCAATCCAATTATCTAACAGGATGCCACACAACATGTCCATCCGCACTTGCCAACTTGTTCCGACTTCCAAAAAAATTGGCTACTTCTGCCGAGCTTCACCTCCGCCGTGTGTTGCCCCGCCGGTCCGGCATGTGGCGAGGCCTCCCCGGCTCGCACGTCGTCGGACTGCGCGTTGGTGTCAAAGCCACCCGGGGGGCCAAGCTCGAAACGGAGGAGGAACTCTTGCTCCTCAGCCGGGAGAGTGTGAGTGCGGAATCGGAAACAATTTAAAAAAGAATACATTGAAATAAATGATTATGAAAAAACCTTCAATACTACAATCATTGCTGTAAATATAGCTGAAAATGTAGTCCACTTGAAGTCAAAAGTATACAGCCTTGATATGCCTTGATTGATGTTTAAGCAGCAGTTTCCTCCTCCCCAAACCCGCCTCCGTGAGCGCCTTCGGCACCGGCTTCGACGCGGCCGGCGGCTCCGGCTTTCCCTCGGGGAGGTCGATGACCTCGTCGTCGCTGTGCAGCTCGGCGTCGTCGAGGGACACATGGGAGCTGCAGGGCAAGGGCTGCGGAAAGAGCCGCGGGTGGCAACACCAGGCGTAGGCCTCCGCTTGAGTGAACCCGGGGCGGTGACGGTTGTACTTCTTCTTTCGCTCTGTTCGGCTGAACAAGGAGGGTGTATGGTTTTGTTTGGTTTGTGAAGCTGGGGGAGTGTGCATTTCAAGTAGGATCGTGATGATGGTAGGGGGGATCAGTGGTATGAGTGGGGGAATTCAGGCGCCAAAAAGCAGTAGGTGAGACCAATTGCAAAGGCTTAAAAGGGTTGTGGTATATAGTAAGAGTAGGAAGAAGAAGAAGAAGAAGAACAACAACAACAACTACTACTACTACTACTACTACTACTACTACGACCACCACCACCACCACCACCGCCGCCACCACGGCAACATTGGCACGCCTCCACTACCACCAGCATTCACCCCCATGCCGCCCATGCCCCACCAACTCCTCAGCTCCCACCTGCGGATCCCCTTGCGCGTGGAAGCCCAGCGCCGCAGCCGCTTTGTTGAAGCTGACGGGATCCGTCCCCACTGGCGAGGTCCATACCACCGCCACGCAGGGCAATCGCACCTGGACCCAGGCACCGTGTCCGCGGGCGCCACAGGCCACGCGTCCGTGCGGAGCGTGGCTTTTTTGGTGCGGAGCGAACCGACCGCCGGGAAGCCCACCGGTTCCCGGTGGAGATGTGTTTCCAGTACTGGCAAGTCTTTAAACATGCATACAAGGGCGCTGGCAACATGTGCTTGTTGATTGTGGTTAACGGTTATTCCTTTGGGATCTGTTTAGTAGTTTAGACTGTTGAGCGATTGTCAATTAAAGGTGCGGCAGATTGAGATCGCTGTTCTTAATGATATGCTAAGATATCTAAGATGGGAAAAGCACTACACTGTTATGTATGGTGCATGATTGCACAGTGATGCACAGGAGGTCCTTGAAAGCCTTGAAGTAATTCCTTATGGGCCCAACGAGCATCCGACAGAACCACTGAACTCCTTTGTGCACCATTTGTCCATCAAGGCTGACCGACCCTCAAGTGCTTTTCATCACAACCGGCCCTGGTTGCTGCTTCATTCTAAGGCTGAGGACGTGGTTTTCAACTCATTGGACACATCTTACCGAACCTGAGGGGACCCACATGGGTCTATCATCCCAGGTTGAAGATCAAACAGGCTCTGTCTGTCCTACCACCCATCTGAGCTCTGTATGCTCTGACGTCTCCTTCATCCAGCCTTCAATCCGGCTCGCTCGCGGGCGTCCAAGGCCATGTACTTTCGCACGGGTAAGCCACTCGCCAAGGGGTTGGACAGTGTTACCCGCAGGGTGCCCTGCGCGAGGCGACTGCTGACCGATGGATCGTAGAAGGGTTGAAGCGATGGAACACGTGGCATTGATCTTGGATACGTTTGACAAATGACTGGATGTTTGGAATCCTGGAAGGTTTTCCAATCTTCTGGATGTCGATACCAAAAGAAAAGAACTGGAACATCACTGGGGGGGTTCCTGCCTATTGACCGACCAATGAAAACATAGCCAACTGCCGGTGCTCAAAAACGCGCCTGGTGATTGTACTTCTTGACATGTCGTCGCAACAGCACATCTTTACCTCTGCGGAACATGCGCCGACTCAGTGGCACAGTGGCAGGTGGAATCCTGATATCTGAAAGATGGGAGGAGGCATGAGGAGGCCAGGCTGTTGGGCATTGTCTTTTAGATCCTGAAGGCAGAAGTCTCATGCCCAGGGCATAGGCCTGGCAGTATGTGTAGGACCTGGAATGGACGCTATATACATGCTACAAATGCTTCACACTCACGGGCATGAAGCCTGCAGCCTGGTCTACGAATGGAACTGGAAACAACCCTTCCCTCAAGACCGGTAGCCGCTTTTGGCTCATTCTCTTCGGCCAAGTCACAGCAGCTGCTGTTGATGCTCGGCACTAGGGCTGGGCCATCCAACTGTACCTTATTTCCAGCTGCGGTTCGGTTTCCACTGCTTGGCTGGGGGCTCCCTGGCCCGGGTTTTACCAACTACGACGCGGAATAGACGACACCCCACGGGTACCAGCAGGCGAAGACCCTATTTGTTCAGATATCTCTGAATGATCAACATGGATCAAGACACATGCCCATATTAGTTTGGATGTTGGATGATGTTGGATTTCCAGATTTCCAACCACCCCATCCTACAGGTCTTCCAACACAAACCCAGTTTCAATTGCACCCATGTCCTCACAGCCCCTAACCTTCGCACCAAACACTCCTCAAACACCGGTTCACCGAGGCACATGCACGGTGATGGCCAAAGGCCCACGCTTCATGGGCGTGTCCGGCAGTGGAAGGCCCTCACCTTCCAACACGAAGGTCACGTTGCAGGATTTACCTCGGTCGCTTCGCGTCGCGCCGCGTACGCGCCACACGGCGCGGTGGAGAGGGTCCCAAAAGTCCGTCCCAACGGTGGGGGGGCACGGACTTGGATTCGCTCTGGAAAAGGAATGCACTCCCTGAAATCATCCATGGAAGTGGAAAAAAAGGCACCGGATTTTGGTACTTTCAGAACCATTTTCCAATGGTTGTCATGAACCATGAGAAGTTTCAGAGGATCTGAGAGCAAATGATTGTTCCCCTTGTGGGGCGAACGGCACCAACGGCCGGCTCGGTCCCAGGTACTCGGCGCCAGATCCAGCAAGGGATTCTTGAAGCGGATCAAGACCATTGAGCCCTGGCAGTGAAGACTGTGCGATGATGAAGCACAATAGATGGAAAGTCAGAAGATCCGCACTGGGCCGTACCGTATAGACTGTGATATATATATATATATTATATGATGTATTATATATATATATATCAACTCCCAAAAAACCATCACGTCATGGCATCCTACAGCAGTGGCCATCACCTCTACACTCCATCTCTAAAACGAACACCTCACCCCACCCCACCGCTCAACACCACCTCTCTCTCCTCTACACGTCCGTGCCGGGGCGCCTTAAATGTGGGCGACCACACCGCCACCGCCGCCTGCGTGGCCTTCGCGCGCACCTGCAGCGGCGAGGCCAGCTGCAGCGCGCCGCTGGCGGCGCTCCCGGCGGTCGCGGCCACTTGCCGGAGGAAGGGGTGGACCTCCGGGCACAGAACTGGCGAGAAAGTTGTTGTGAAGAGGAGATCTATACTTAAAAGTATAGTCTTGTTATTCACTCATGACATGCGTACCTCTTGAAACATATCTTTGCACAAATGTGCGTGCATTAATATACTATAATATAGAGGAAAATCCTATGACAAACAAGCAATGATCGGGCACCAGCGGTTCCCTGGTAGTTTCATGTACACACGGCCACACGGCGAAATCTTGAAAGAAACAAACTTTCCCACCAGCAAACTCAGAACATGTAATCAGAATCTCCTGCTGGTTGATTCCCGTCAGCCAAGCGATAGCCCAATTCAAGCCTCATATACTGTAACTCCAAAAGTTCTACAAACTCATATTCAATATTCCTTCAGAGTTTGTTCCCCAACAGTGCCTGTTTGATCTTTTTGGAATCCCTAAGTGACCTTTTGCAGGCCTAAGTGACCGACCTCGAACCAGGGGATGAAGTTCGGTCACTTGGAAGAACCAGGTATACACATTCACATCATCTTGTGTCAACTTCAACCCTAAAAGATCATGGAACGACTCCATCAACTCCCCATCATCTTCATCACCCGACTCGCTTGGAACAGCCAATTCGGCCCGAAGTCCGGCCGCAGCAGTGACTCGGCGAGCCGGAGCACGGAGAGACGACGACCAGTGGTGACTCGGCCAGCGCGGACGGAGACGGTGACGGTCCAGGCCTTGTGTCGAAAGACGACCACCAAATCGCCCGGAGAGACATTGAAGCTGGGCCAATGTCCGTCTCCCGGCAAGCGGTACTCGCTACCGTCCGCCTGCGACAAAGCGGACCAAAGGGCGGAAGAAGCCAAGAAACAGGTACTAGGTGGTGTGCATCAAGCACTGGCACTACAGTAAATATGGGTTCAGACATCCAGCCATTTTGAGGGAAAGCTCTGACAACAGGTGAATCTCCCACCCTGATCAGCAGGAATTCAGATCGACCAGCCTGACCAGGGTCGATCTTGATGTTCACCTTGCAGTTCACAACGAGCATCGACTTCGAACATCGTGAAAAACACAACCCGCTGTGGAAGTCACACCTTTTGACCGACAGATCCAATGGTCACCTTCTTTTGGTTGGTTGGTTGGTTGGTTGGTTGGTTGGTCTCCCTGGTTGGGTACAGTAGGCTGGTTGGGCGTCTATGTCAAGGATCACCAAGCCGCTCTTCCGTTGCAAAAGGCCTGGTGTGTCATGATGTGTTATGATCCAAAAAAGAATTAGAATTAAAACAAATTGTTTCTAATAGCTTCTTGTTACTACTAATAAGGCACTTGCTACTAGAAGCGATGCACGATGCACTTGTTACTACATGTCTTCTAAGGAAACAGTGCTTCAGTTTGTTTGATCTTCTTCACGACAGCCTTTTCAAAGGCAGCGTGACCAAACGCCCATCCTCCCAGCATCCTGCTATGTCTGTCCTTTTGATGCAGAATAGGGCCTTCAGCAAATGCAGCACTCCTCACAAAACCCTGCAACCCTCAGGGTGACAAGTGACAGGGTCAAACTGGTGTTGAGGCGCGCACACACACACTTGTACTATCATGCAACCAGCATTTTTAACCCATACTCAAACAAGTTGGACACATCCCCTTGTCCACCCATTGAATTGTCAAGAACACTCTCCTCTCCAAATCCAAAATCAGCAAGTTAAAAAAGAGCACTCCCACACTCATCCACACTCCAACAAACAAACCTACAAATGCCGTCACGGTCTGTCATGCTCTGTCTGTCATCGCCCTGGTTGCACACCAACCCGGGGTGCCGTCACCTCCCCCCTCGTCGTCGCCTAGTGGCTGTCTTCAGAGTTTGGCTGGTACCGCCAAAGGCTCGCTGCATCCGATCCCGCTTCACCTCTCGGATCTTCAGGCCGCCTCCAACGGCACGTTCCGTTCCGTTCCGTTCGCGAACGCACGGACGGAGCGCACCACGTTCCCGCGGGTTCCAACCCGCGGGTTGACGTCCATGGTGGGACACGTTGCTGGAACACGTAACAGCTGGTGATACGGATCGTGGGAGTGACCAACTATGTGCATCGCTGCCTTGGGATAATTTGCCCCAATCTGCGGGTCAGGCAACAGTGATCGGTGTGATCAGTGAACCTTTTCTTTCGACCACCGCCGTGAAAAGCACTCACAAAATGGCCTGAATTCATCCCCCTCACCACCACACACACAAAAGAAAATCACAACCCCCACATACTCCCACACATCCTGAATATTTCACCCATCCTCAACCGATGACCATGCACATTGGAGGTGTCTGACTGGTCTGAGAAAGAAAGAACCAGGCCGGCAGCCGGCCCATGTTCTTGATTTGTTCAGGAGAAAGCGTCTTTCACACGTGTTTGATTTTTTCGGGACAAAAAATGCAAACATGCCCACAGAAAAGCTGTCCTCCCAGATTTCCTCCCGCCTCTCAAGGCCTTCTCCAAAGAGATCTTCACCTCCAACCTCGGCGCTTGGCCAAACCGTGATTTCTGGGGAGAAAAATGTTCGTTGAAGCGCTTGATCCAGGAATTATGCACAGGTTTGGAGCGAAATGAGAACACATCCAAGAAGCGAACACCTTTTCACAGCCACAGATCACAGCAAATCTGTAGAATAAGTGTGGCTGGAAGAGCAAGTAGTTATTCCTTTCGGTCTGACCCTTCCAAACGTAATCTGCTTCTATGACCCCAAACTTGTCCCCTCCGACCATAAACCTCCTGTCCATCACAAAAACATGCTGAATATACTGCAAGAACGCCCCCAAAGCACCAATCGCAACCATTAAACTAGCAAAAAATATATAAACCTGGATCAAATCTGTGAAAAACCTCTTCATGTATACCCTACCCCACCCTTCCCTCCGAGCCACCGCAGGTCCGCGGCCTTCGGGAGCTTCGTGGCCTTCGCCTTGGCCTCGTCCGTTCCGCGGAACGGCTGCGGAAGGTCGTCCCACCGGTGGGGTGAGAGCGGTCTACCTGTCTGCCTGTCCTATACCTGACTGGTGGTAATTTGTAGGGGATGAGGGTGGCTGGATCCAGGAGGGCGCCCTTTAATTTCGAAACTTGGTGGCTTCTTAGTTGTGAAACAGAACCGCTTAGTTGCGAAAGACAAACATCTAATTGCGAAAGCCAACCGGTGGCCCAAAAGTGGCCCTGTTCCTTCTCAGGTGGAATCACTCATGGCAGCCGGACGCAGCCAATCTTTTTCCTCCACTCTTCAATGTCGTCGCTTCTGTCTTGCTGGCTCACCATCTTTCGGGTCCTGCCAACAGCTGACATGAGCTCATATTTTGGAACAGGGTGGGAACTCCACCTCAAGGATGTGAATCAGCTAGCAGGTGCTCAGAGGAGCAAAGAACCTGGGGGTGTCTGTAGCAGTCGGTAAACAATGACCACCCACTCCTCAAGGGGGCTTGGTGTGAAATCTATCTCTATTGCCAATTCATTCTTTGGCTGCCTCTTTGGTGCAGAAAACAGTGTTCTTGTGAAACATATTGTTCAACCTGATCATTGTCCTAGGGCCACTTTGGAATTTTGTGTTTCCCAAAAGTGTCTATCGTTTTTGGGGGCCAATGACAATAAACAATGATGGCCGTTCCTTGACAACGAAACAAAAACATACACAAACCTCGACGGCATATCAAAACATGTCACAATTTCAGAGTCAATAATTGCACCGGACCATTCCGAACCCCACCGCAACAAGCTGAAATGGATGGAAGTGGTGCTGGACTTTCCAGTATCTGGGAAGCCCGTGCCAACACGGTTGTTAACTCTGCTATACAGCTTCTTTGCAAACAGTATAAAACATAAGGACGTGACTGCTAGCCAAACTGCTGCCTTTGCCTTTCGCAGCCGTCGATCAGCTTCTTTTGCTTCCTCCTGGCAAGCCAGCACGTTATCTGGGAGGCGGGGTGGTCTGCAGTTACCAAGCGTTTCCACCTTTTGCCTTTTGATTTGTGTCGGGAAGAAGTTGCAAAGACCCCGCTGGTTGTGCTTTTTGGCGCATGGAAAATGGATTCTTTAGGAGGGTCTTTGCAACTTTTTGCAAAACACAAGTCACCCTGATGTCCACTGCCTTCCTCCTGTCCAACTCCATCAAGTGCGCAGCTTGATCCTCCACCTCGAAGAACTCACGGGCTTCTTCAAACCATTCGGCAATGTCCTCGTCATGAATGGACAACTCATGCTCTGGAAAGATTTTTCGCGCAGGTAGATTCCGAATTCCAAAGAACACTCTGGAAGTGCGTTTCGGATGAAAGCAGATTGAGCAAGGTCTTTTTTGGAATAAACAGACAGCATTGGTCCTTCGCCTCCATTCCTGACTTTGTGCTTTGGTCGCGCCGTCCTGGCCGATAGACGCGCGCTGAAGCCACGTGAACTTCTGGGCTATCTTCGGGCTGAACAGACCTGACTGGAGTTGCAAATCTAACGAAGCAGCTTGTACTCCAAGCCTCCGACTCTGAACTTTCGCTTGCGAGGGAGGGTTGGGCTACAGGTATGGAAGGAGATCTGCACAGGTCCTTGGCAAACATCAAACGACAGGCCGGGCAGTGCTGCATGACACTACGCAGACAGAGCGCATCTCCAATGGAGGATGGAGAGCGATGAAGGCTTCGTGAAGTTCACTGGCCAAAATCGCTCCTGAGAGAGTGGCATCGTCACCTGCAAACATAATAACAGGTTTGCGGCGCAAGGAATGAACAATCAGGGGCGCTTGAAGAACAATTGGCCTTGCCTCCAGCTTTTCCTGCGACTCATCACGGTGCTTTGCTGCCGCAACATGCACAGCGCATGGACACAGGCTGCTGCTGGTGTGAAGGGCCCAAGACTCGAACTGGAAGACCAAAGCACTGCTCTTTGGGTCGTACAAGCCCTCTGCGCACATCAACCGAAGCAAGTCATCCGGACTGTGGGATAGAGTTGCGGCGGACAGGTCAGTTCGCCACGTGCGAGTGAAACCCAAACACTGGGCAGGAAGCGTGTTAAGTTTGCACCCAAGCACCACGCTCGCCTTGGAATTGCTCACCAGGACGAATGCCGATCTGTCCAGCAAGAGGAATCATCGGAGCCGCCTGAAACAAAGCCTCCAAGCCCGCCAACGCACTTGCGACTCTGCGTCCAAAGAAAACTCCCTCAGGGTGGCCCAAGTGGAAAGCAAGGTTCGTGTACACGCCGACGTCGCCAACTTTGTTCAAAATCCACGGCTGCACCATGGGAAGTTGCACGAGCGGCGACAGGGGCCACAGCCGCAACAAACACTCCATAACCACATGAGAACAGTTCTCTTCAACGGACCCAAGCAATGCATGACACTATGCAGGAAAAAGAAAAGCTCATCTGAAAATTGTAGCGTGAGACATGGTCGTTGAAGTCTCAGGCAGCTGCCGCACCCTCTGGCAAAGCTTCCACGACAAGGTCGTCCGACTCTAGCGACTTGGTGGACCAATCGCTAGACTCCAAGAACTCACGGACAACGGTCAAAGCAACGAACGCGCAGCTGCTCTGCTGCAGTGCATTCTGGTTGAAGCGGTGGCAGTGTACTTCCGCCTCCTGCTCATGGAGGGTTGCTGGTGAAGCCCGTTGGGGACTTTTTGATACCTGAGCATTCATCAGACTAAAGCAACATAAAAGCACATATCACCACGGTCACATATCTATATACACCCAAAAGTGGCCCTGTTCCTTCTCAGGCCAAGCCGGAAAGAACGCAAGCTCTGCCATTCTCTCCTGACGTGCCCCCAAACTTCCCAAAGAGTTGCAAAGACTCTGCTGGTTGGGTTTTTTGGTGTAACAAACATTGATTTGGGAAGGTCTTTGCAACTTTTCGAACTGTCAAAGAAGGCCTCCATCAGAATGCCTCCTGCCGGCCTTTCACCATCTTCTTTAGGGTCCTGACAGACGTGCTGACACTGTCCCGTCTCCCGTCGGTTGCGCAGCATGTGACAAAACATCGCGCAAACAAAACATCTTAAACACGCACGCAAACATCGCGCAAATGAACCCCTAAAAGTGCACGCGCACAAGTGACATGGTTTTTGCGTGTGTGGGTCTTTGTCAGTCAGATTGCAGTGAAGGCAACTGTAGACCACCTCCGACAACCATTTAACAGTGAGGTTGCGCGGTCTTCTTTTACTGCTAAAGGCTAAAGGCGTGTTGAGCCAAAGGTTCGCAGCGGTATGTACATCATTCTACTCTGTCAATCTTACGCGGGATATAGTTCTCTACTCTCGTTGCACTGCTTTTGGCAGTTTTTAAGGCCCAACACAGTTGCCAATTCCACAAGACGCCAGCAAACCTTTTCCGATGCCTAATGGCTGCGGCTGCAAGTTCCTTTCCAGATCTTCTGCGGGGACAAATGCTGCCTTCTTGTTTGGGAAGGAAATCCGGCTCTATGTCCAAAAAAGATCTGAATTGCTGCGGTACTTCGGATCTCTCCAGTTGCCGCCTCTGCTGAGCGAATCCGGCCGGCTCAGCAGGATTGACGCTCAGAATAGGCTGGCACGGGCACGGGTTGTCTTGGCCTGTGGGGAGTCACGTCGCCAAGAGGTTGCCGCTTTGGGGCTGGCGAAGGAGATGCAGAGCTGCCCCGCTTCCTCTGCTTGCGTCTCAGCTCAAAAGCTTCATGGTGCTTCGGGACCGGAAGGTTGATTTTGAACTTGGCCACTCCTTCCTTCAGCTCCACGAAGCATTGGTGAGGGCAATGCCCGCGGCGGCGGAAGTACCAGCATGTACAATGGGTTCCTGCGTTTTCTTTGCAAAGAACCGCGCAAAAGTTGCCCAGGCACGCACGATACTGTGGGGCCATGAACTTCAAGTGCCCTTCATGGTCCTCAAGGATGCCTAAATGAAGGCACAAAGCTTTCAAATCCTCAGCTTTCTTGGTCCACAACATTTTGTAGATGGCATCAGCAGTGTCTTCGGGTACTGGGCTTGGCACTCCAAATCTCATGATGTAAACACGTTGGCTCCTTGTCCTTTTGATCGCAACACAATCAGGAGTGCCCTGTATGCTGCTGATTCCCTACATTCGTCGCACCAGTCAGGATAGAGATGGGTGTGGTTTTTGAGTAGGGGAGACACCCGGAGACGGCGATGGTGGCACTGGTCCATGTTCCGAACCTTCCTTTTTTCCAGGGGGTCGGAACGCCTGGGAGGGTCGTGGTAAAAATACACAGTCACATGCATATAGAGATTTGGGTATATGCAATTCCCATTACCACCCACGGCTTCCTCGAAAAAGAGTCATCATCTTTGACCAACTGTGGTGAGACACCCGACCGATCTATTGCTTCGGTTCTTTTCGGTGAAAAAAGGGGGTCGCCTCAGAAACAAAACACGACGACCTCCCTTGCACCACGTGTCGCTTGTGGATCCAAAAGCCCCAAGCTTAAAAGCTGCACTCTCCACTGAGCGGACATGGGATCCCATTGAGATCGAAGCAAAATGAAAAGCAAACAAGACACTTTTGGGGGGTCTATCCTCTGTGCCAGGTATGATGATGGTTACCCAAAGGCCTTGCTTCTCTAAAATATATCGTGATGTTCTTTACCTACCTGTTTTCAGGTCAGTTCGGACAAACCCCACGTGACCCAGTTGGAAAATGGAGGTGCTTCTCCGCCGCCCAGGTAGGATGGCCCACCCAACCGTGACGTCCAAAAAGGATGGATTTGACCGTGGTCACGTGACCACTGAGATGTTTTCAGGTCGAATCCATCAGGAACTTGGAATGCTCCATTTACTACGAATTCGTGACGATTTCTATCGTCATATGATGATGGGTGTCATGTGTTCTTTCTGACATGTAACCACTCAGAGATGTGTTCTTCCAGATCCTTGAAATCAGTGATTTCTCAAGGAACGGGGAAACCACTGAGAAGCATGTGTCAGTCTTCTTGACTGAGCCCATCAAACACTGCACCAATGTGACTCGGATATTTGGGCCGAAACGGATTGATTCGTGAGAATCCCGACAAGGCGGGCTAAGCCATTTTTTTCTGAAACGGCTATCAAAGAGCTGCTTCCAAACTCTTGCAACAGACAGTTCCATAGAATTCTGACGATCGAAAAGAAACTCTGAAGAATCGGAACACAATAGGTGTGGTTGCGTACAGGTACGCGCAAGTACGAGAATCCACGGAGACCTCTGCGTCAACATTTCTACATTTAGCCTGTACAATTCTGCACAACGCTGTCCCCAATGAAAAGAACTAGATTAACTAGGTCAAGAGCTCTGGTCACCTGGGTCTTTTCAGCTCACCGAGCAGCCAAATAGTTTTGAATCGTGCTGAGATGTTCAACACTCAATTATCCAATTCTCCGAACCACTGCATCTCCAATTCTCGAACAAGACCTGGGCCCTTGCAGGCAAGGAGCCTGCACAGCCTTGCCACCTTCTTTGGCTTCCTGAGCAGTTCTTTTCCGAGACATCAAGTGGCCCTGACTCCTGGCTTTCTGACTTGTTTGAGATTAAAGCTTAATCTCTAACTAGAGACAGACCAGAAATGTATCCACGACCTCAAAAACTACCGGACTCTCTGTCTTCCATGTTTTCGCTCATGTTACAATCAGAAAAGTTCGGGGGTCTTGAGGTGCCGAAGCATTCGCCCTTCGCCTGGACGGAGTGCCTCAGCCTTGAAACGCCTACAGTAGATCCACGTTCCAAGCAAGGTACTCTGCAGAGTAGTTCAGCCTTGATCCACGTCTACTTTCCACTCTGAAGGCAATCCAAGTATGTAACATATTTTATATACCAGCTTTTTCTTGCAAAGGACCACACGTCACGACTCTCCAGCTTCATTGAACGTCTACAGTTTCGTCCGAAGTCCGAGTCCGCACTCGGAAGTTGAGCGCAGCTGAGAGGCACCGCTCCAACGGCCCCAGAAGTTGCCATCGGTGTTGGTCTTCTGCGAGTAGAAGGAACTGTTCATGCCCTCACCAAACAAACGCCCCGCGCGGACTACACGCACGAACTGCATCGTCCACGCAGTCCGCGCGCGGCGCGGAGCCCGCATGCACCGGTGGACGTGGCTTTGAAAGCGCACCGGTCTATGTATGTGTGTGTAGGAGCCCTTGGTGGGGTCCTGCAGTCGGGGGACTCCATAGATGGAGGTGAGTAGCGTCGTGAAGATGACCAAGATGCAATTGGTCATGGTCTTGCACCCCATGTTCGATCGTCGGACATATTTCCAGCCAAAAATATAGGCCAAAGCGAGAACAATACACCAGTGCGCCTTGTTTGGGGTGTCTATTCGAGAGGCCCTCAACAAAAAGAGGCGATTTGGAGTGTCCATGAACCACTGTAAAGGAAGACTTCTGTTGCTTCCTTCCACGCGCCTTTTGGTTGTGGGTATAGCACCTCATGGCACCAGGGGACCTTCACCATCCTTGACCAAATCAAGCTACCCTACTTACCCCGGTCGTCCGAATCCCCACACCCCAGCAACTCCCACCAGACTCGCAGGAACTCCCCTCGTCTCGTCACCGTCTTCGCGCGCGCCTGAGACTTGGCTCTCGCCTCGTCGAAGCGCGCGCGGTCGTACTGCCGCCGCGTGGCGCGGTCTGACAGGATCCTCGGGCCAGTGGCACCGAAGCCGGACCCAGGGAGGAGCCGGTGGGGGTTGGGGGGGGGGTGAGAAGGCCTGTTCGGGGGTGGTGATGGTGGTACAAAGGGTCGTTTTTGGGCTGGGGGAAGGTATCCTCGGTATTTTGTGGATGAAATATGATGAAATCATACAACTGCTGGTCCAAATGTGTTTAAGGCGGAGGAGCAGGTAACCAAGGCAATGACCACAGCTCGGGGCCGTGGGAAAAAATAACCGTTCCAAGAAGAGGGGGCTGGGTTGATGTATTGCGTGGAAAATAAGCTCAGGCCAAGTGTCTCATAGGCCTCCTGGATCTTTTCGAACTCATCCTGCCAACAATTCTGCACGTCCGAGAAAAAATACGAACTTTTGGACGAGCTATTTGATCCAAGTCTTCAATGCATCTTGAAATTGCGCCCTTTGGATGTTAAAATATGCACGTCCGAGCCCAGAACGTCCAGCGACTCCACCACCACCATATGGTACAAATAGGCCGGAAAAAGGGGCTCAACTGTCGCCAGTGCTGGGTCGAACGACTTCGAACTTCACTCGTTCCCTCCCATCACCGAGACCTGTGCTGGGTCCGGTCCGAGAAAAGCAGTTGGGCAGGCAGGTTTGGCAGTGGCAGGACAGACGTGGTGTGGGGTCATCGGGCAGCAGAGACTCGGACAGACGGCTCTACGAAGGAGCACCTGGTGACCAGGAAGAGAAGCCCCACCCGTTGTCAGAGGTCTGCGGAATTGGTTTCTGGCGAGACAGGTGAACTGGAACTGCAAAAAAATGCTCAAATTTTGTCTACCTGGGAGTGGTTGAAGCCAAGGAGGGTTGGACCCTTCGCAAGATTATCTGCTGTGCATGCCAGACACTCAAACCTTCCCAAATAAATCAAAAGCATTGCAGCACGTTTGTTGTCTTTGAATGTTGACCTGAAAGCACGTCCACACCACATTTTCAGGGCCCAAACACGTGCAGGAGCTGATGGGAGCTCCCCATCAAGCTCTAAGTTATTAAGAGTCTGTCCTGCATCTCTCTGAGCTTGTCAGGCTTCTTGTCTCTGTTCTTGTCCTTATGGCGACATTTTTGGAGAGGCATAGTTCAAGGCATTCTGTAAATATGAATCAATCTTCCTCGCCCAGCAGCCACTTCCGCCGACTTCCACAGTAAGAACATTCACCAAGACTGCATGTTCTGAGGTCTGAAGTAGACAGTTCTGCGGAGTTCATCTGTCTTGTTCGTCCCAGTGCTTCTGGAGCATTCCTGTCTTTATAAGACTGCACGTTCCGTTCGTCAGTGGACCATCGGGCTTACGAACAACGGTCCAGGCGTAGGCTACCGTAGACACCGGCTGTTCTCCGACCGTCTGCCAAGCAGGTCGCGTCAAGCAGGTCCGTGGTGCCCACTCAGGTCGGAAAGACTGTACTCTTGGACTGTGTTTTTTTAACGTCGGACACTGGACGCATCGCTTTAGTTATATACATCCGACACGTTGACCGAAAAACGCGGGCCGTCAAAAAGGAAAAGGAAAGCAATGAAGTGGAGAAAAAGAAAATCGCTAGGTCGTCTGCAGAGGTCCAGCCAAACATGGTGTGCATCGTCCAGAAATTAAACAAGACATTGCCCAAAAAGAAGCAACGGTATTTATACCCTCAACAAGAACACAAAGACAGCAAAGGCCAAAAATTCAAAAGAATCAAAGAACAATATCTTTCTTTCTTTCACTAGCGCCGAGAGGTCTAGCCTGTGGCTTATGCACCTAATTAATGGGGGTTGACACTGAGGGCAGCAGCACAAAAATCTGGCCCCATCGGGGCTTCAGTATTGAAGTGCGCCACAAGATTGGCAGTCGTTTCACTGAACCAATCCGGCAGCTGCTCTCCAGTGTCATTCATTGGGATGGCTTCATGGAAAAGAGCAGCCAGAACCGAACAGAAACCACTAGGGTACTGTTTGAGAATGCTGGTTTTCCAACTTCCATCTTCGCCACGCCCAATTCGGCTGGTCGTAGGAAGGGGTGTTGTTCGTCCTTCCAAGAACAGTCGTCTGAAATCCTGACAGGGATTAGCCAACAAGAGGTCAGTCGGCTTAGGCGATAAACCGCCGTATCTACCCTGTTCTACTCGGATTTTAAAAACTGTGGTAAACTTGAGAAAAAACTGGATCACGGGAAGGCGCCAAATCGAAGGCAGGTTGCCCTCAGGCATTGCCGGGTGCTCGATAATCGCAACCGACCCGCTCAAGATCGCAATCCAGAAAAGCTTCAAGGCCACAGCTAGGAGTTGGTTTCCTGTGGAAACTTGTTGTGCTTCTCTTTTGTTGAGATTCTGCAATCCCTGTGGTCGTTCAACTGACCTCACTGGGCGCGGGCCGTCAGCGAGTGCGACGAACCGTGCGCGACTCCATGTCTCGCATGGCGGGCCTGCAAGGAAGCCAGCTAACACGCCACTCCGTAGAGCTCGGACAAAGAGTTGCATCGTTTCTGGTCTGAGTAGGTTGCCGTAGTGCGTGTCAAAGATGATATCAACAGAGATCGCCTTAAATCCGGCACGCTCAAGATGCTCCTGGAGATCTTCTGGTCGGCGCTCACCTGAGAAAAGATGCGCAACAACCCGCGGGTTGTAGCGAACAGTACGGCTGATCTGTCCAGTAAGGTCATGGAAAGCCCAAGCGACTCTCTGGAAAAATTGATTTGCGTTTTCCGCAACTGCTTCGGTCTGGCAATCACCAGAGAGAAACCATTCCAGCGACGCTTTGCTAGTATAGTGTGCAAAAACCTTCAACTCAGCAAGCTTGAGATCCTGATGCTGGAGACACCAGTTGGCTGTCCATTCTTGAAAGCACGCAATTATCTCGGCATGGTGGAGGGTGGTCGAAAGAGTCGCCAGTCTGAGCTGCTCTAACCATGTCTCCGGATGAGGTCTGCTAATGGAGACTCTGTCCCATTCTTGCTTCAATTTCTCGCAGGCCTGGTTCACTTGGATCATCATGCAGTCAGGATCAGGGCAGACTGGCCCTTCCGCCTGCATAAAAGGCTCTCGTAGCGCCTTTCTTTGGCGGTTCTCTGTTCTGCTGTTGACCCCAGGCTCAGGCTGGACTTCAAGCCCTCGGTCCTGGTAGAACTGGAGGCATCTGAGAGCTCGGCTGACATGGTTAATCAGGTCGCTATGCAACGGGTATGTCTTCAGACAGGCTTCACACGTGTTTCCACTGACATACTGTCGAGCTGGCTTCAAACGATGATGTTTCTTAAAAGAGTGGACAGAGAGGTCTGATTGCCTCTTGAAACTTTTCTTGCAGGCTAGGCAGTAGTATTGCTTACATGCATTGGTGGCCTTTGGCAATGCAAAGCCTGCTTCGAGGACTTCATGCATGATCTCAGTCTGCCATTCGAGCCATTGCATGTCAATCTCACGGCAGGATATATGGCGATGTACAGCCGTCTTGATCAGACGTTTCCATCTTGTCGGGGAAGATGTCACATAATCGACAACCAAGTCCCATCGCATTTGCAGGCCCTGCAGTCCCGCTTCTGGACAAAAGGAATCGAGCCAAGTGACATCTTTACAAAAACGTTGATACCACTCTCCATCAGCTTGCAATAAACCCCACATATGCGGTTGGCCTCCTTTGCACAATTGCAGGACATATCGAAGCCGTGCTTGACGCAAAGTGACCTCTGGCGAAGGGAGTCGAAACTGATTGAGCACCTTGTCATCACTCCAGGTCAGCGCATCGCCCCCGAAATGGAGAATGCAGACTCGTTTGTAGAGCTTCATAAAGGATGAGTGCAATTGTTGTTGCTGTCGACAATTGCGAGGCATCCAAGCAGCTGCATTAAAGGTGATGGTGCTTAAAACCATAGTCTCAAAGAGCTGTCGTTTCTTTTCAAAGGCTAGTGCTCTGTTTGAGAAAACCGGTCCTTTGTACCTCGTCACCAGGTCATGCGCAATGGCAAACTTCGTTTTGATATCCATGGATATGCCAGATCCAATCTGAATCCACGTACCCAAGTGCTTGTAGCAGCCTACCAATCGAAGTTGGTAGTCTTGGAATTGAGATGGGATGCAGATCTGTTGTTCATTATGGCACATCTCACGTCGAAGAGTTAGGCTTTTCGGTCCTCGAAGATCAAGGAGCAACTCGGTCTTCCCAGCATTAAAGTTGGGTATAAGCCCAGCTTTGAGGAGCCCATCAAAGAGTTCCCCGCTGATCTCCTTGATGAGACAGAGCAATTCATCAGATGTTGGGGCTGTGAAGGCAAATGCTATGTCATCTGCCCAGATTGGAACTAGCGGACCCAATGGATGGTGTTCTTGAGATGTTCTATATGGGCAAGCCCTGCCATCCCAGCTGATTTCAATCCCAGGATATTTCTCCCTCGCAAAATCCAAAATGGGCTTGAGCAACTGGGTAAGCGTGAAGGAGAAGCAAAGATCAGCAAAACTGTCTCCAGGTCGGCTACCTCTTTGTGACTCAACCACAATGCTGTCGCTTTTTACTTGGAACCAGGTATGCGCGTAAAATTCTTTGAACAAATCACGCAAAAAGGGCGGCGTTCGTGCCGCATCCAAGGCAGGTTCTTGTGCAAGCAAACTTTGGAACTCTTGGAAGGTATCTGGTGGCAATCCTAGCGTGCGGAAAAGCTCAGCTGCCCCTCTTCTATCTGCCTGCGGTGTGACAAGGTGTTGCCGTACAAGTCGGTAGAAAGCGTTGGTAACATCAATAAAAAGGAGACCTACAGCCCTGTTTTCTTTCACGGCCCCTCGGTGAAAGGACTGGAGCGCATGTGCAGCTTGCAAGATGCTTTGGCCTCTAAGTCCTCCGATCTGGAAAGGAAGACGTGAAGCCTCAAAGATATCGAGCAGGTCGTTCCTGTAGATCGAATGCACAGTCTTACCAATCACAGAGCTGACAAACAAAGATCTGTAGTTTTCTGGTTGGCTGGCATCTCCTTTCTTATAAACAGGAGTAAGATACCCTCCTTTAAAGAGAAGTGGCTCATGTAGGTATATGACCTGTTTGCACATCAATGTGTAGTACAGGTCAGTCATCTTCTTGGGTGCAAGCGCTAGAAGCTCTCCAGGGATTCCATCTGCGAAATAGGCTTTTCCACGCGCTGTGTCACGAAATTTCTGCTCCACCTGGTATGCAGTAGGGAGATTCTCCCATGTAGCATGGCATGTTGGTGAACGAGAAATGGCCGCCTCATGGAAAAGCTGCTCAAATGTAGTGATCTTCCCATCTTCTTGCGCAGCGAAATACTCTCTCCAGCAAGTCTTGTGCTCATCTTCCGTCTCAAGGACATGACCATCACGACCGCGTAGAAGCGGCAGGGGTTGTATTGCAGACATTTTCTTCCGCCCACCAACTCCAACCGCCCTCAGAGCTCTCATGAAGTCTCTAGGTGCTAGGTGGTATGCCTTGCTGGCCAAAGCTTCGAGCGCAATGACTCGATCGGCCTTGAGTCGTTTGGTAAGCTGTTTAGTCGTATCAGCAATTTGCCTCTGTCGCCTGACAATATCATGCAGAAGGCTGAAAGCTTCACCTGTACTAACATGAATCCTTCTCTCATACCTCCATGCTCGTAAGGCAGTTCGCATCGACAGGTGCTGGAGTTGATCTTTGAGTGTTCGGATTTTGTCCCGAAGTCTCATTCTAGTAGTTCGGATATTCCAAGTTTCATCAGAGATATAGCTGGATCGTGGTTTTGACTTCTGGATCGGAAATGCAGTCTGCAACCTCGCACAAACCTGATCCGCCAGTTGCATGGCATGGACATCTGGGTCCTCGTGCCAACTAGGGACTTGGATGTTGCTCAATACTCTTTCTACTTGCTCAGGTTCAGCCTTTAGCAGGGCGTCTCGGTCAAAGGTGTTCGAGTGCCTAACAACCTTCGTTCGAGTCAGAACAATCTTGCAGTCTAGTGAGAGTGGTGAATGATCAGCTCCCGCAAGACTTGTGTCTAGAGTATGTAGGACCTGAGTGTGTACATATGCATGTTGCCACGCAAGTGGCACAGCAAAATAATCACACCTCGCTCCTGCTCCAGTCGCATGACTACGCCATGTGGTATGGTCACCCGTATGGTGGTTTTCAAAGGTGCTAGGCAGGAAAAGTTGAAACCTCCGAAGAACCTCTAGGAAGCAAGTAGCACCATGATCAGTCCTTTTTTCAAGCCCAAAGTCACCAACATACGGGGCAGTTGCTTCTCCGAAATGCGCATTGGCATCAAAACCACAGAGAATCGGTAAGCGTCGATCATAATGAGGCTTCAAGAGCTGCATCACTTGCTGCCAGAAAACCTGGATTTTTTCGGGCGGGTGACCACTATGTGGCGCATGCCCGGTAACAAGGAGCAGTTCAATGCCTCGGATCTTGGCACATACAACAAGCAACTCGGCATCTGCATGCATAACTCGAACATGCTGCTTTTCTGCAACAGGTTTATGCGTCTTAGGTTCTTTAGATGCAATCCAGATCTCTACTCCCCCGTGTCCTTTATTCGAGGCGCATGTGACACGTATATGGGTGCTGGAACAGACAAATTGACTGGATCGGGACCGGCTTTCTTGCAAAAAGAGCACATCCAGGTGGTGTGCACTCATCTGCTCTTTTAAGTACTGAACAAAAAAGGTGCCTTGCCTCTGACCTAACGTCGCAACATTGAAAGTAGCTGCGAACAAACGGAAAGTCTGGTTTGTCTGACTTTTAGGTGGCTCTTGCAGTAACGAAGCTGGCAATTTCTTGGCAATGTCTCGTTCTTGTCGCAGTTTAGGTAGGGCCAATCTACAACCAACGATGTCAGGAAACAAGGATTGTGCTCCACTCTGCTCAAAGTAAAGCCATAGCATCTCGATGGGAAACCGTTCCCGAACACATAAGCAAGATAATCTGGTCTATGACCTGCCAAGAACGTGGCCTGTTGCTGATAGGCAAATTTGGCCAGACTGTCAGCAAGTTCATTGCCAAGACATCCTGTGTGGCCCCGTACATGTTGCCAGATGCAATCGGCTCCCTTTCCAAGGTATGCGTCCCACGCACGAGCAATAGCGCGCAATATGCGCAGTTGCTTGTCATGTTCAGCAATCCTCGCCTGTCCAGCAGCTGGTTGTCCTACCGAAGTAGAATCATACCTCAACGTGTGTCTCATTTCTAACCCGAAGGAAAGACACCATTCGATGGCCTTGATGAGAGCATCAGCCTCTGCACTGCGGGCATCGGCTTTCGTAGCTCCTGTCCAGCCCTCTGACATAGGATCCGTTTCAACCAATCCATAATCCAGGTCAACAATGTAGTGCTGGTCTGCGTTGCGTACAAAGACAACGAAGGCCCATGCAGCTGTTTTGTCAGCTTCCCGGGTGTTGGAACCGTCTGTATAGAGGATGACCTCCTGGTAGCGGTCCGGCCAACCAAATCCAAGCTGGTCATATTCATCTCTGAAGGCTGGGCTGAGGATGCTTCGAATTTCATTCCAGTCATGTTGCTTTGTTGGTCTCTTGCTCAGCAATTCATCCAACAATGGGGCAAGATTTGGCAGCTCAACACCGACTTGCTGGGCTTCCTCCCCTGGCACTGTTGCAGCTGGAGAGGAGGGAACATTCAAATATTTCCACAGAGAGATCTGGATCGGACTCTCAGGTTGGGAATTCTGTAGATGTGGACCAGACGGAATCATTCTCACGCCCTCACACTGCGGCCCATCGACAACAATCTCATGGGAGTTGACACAGAAGTAGTCATCCAGACATTGCAGTTTGTGGCTTAACCACCATACAGGGTTGCCAGGTGGCCGCAGGCATTCATATGGATCTCTGTGCCATGTAAGTTGTGGATGACCTGTTCCTTTTAACCAGGGCCGTCGTACTCCTTTGGGAGACCGTCCAAACTGGTGTAGATCAAGAGCAATAGGTCGACTATGATCGATCTGTACAGAAGCTGTTCCTTCAGTCAGATTGACAATGATGGTGGCAAGGCAGTGATCCCAGATTCCTTCTTCTGGTGACTTGTCAGACGAGACCGTCGATCTGTGCATGCTCACAAGGGAGGAGTGGCCTTTTATTCTGTTTGCGTGCTCTTGGGACACGTGGCGCTGTAGAAGCGTCAAGGCATCTGGGTCTATCCCCTCTTCATCGTCTTCTGGATTGTCCCAGTATGCTTGTCTCACAGGTAGGCCTCGTTCAAACTCACAGTATGCAGTCTCCCTGATGTGAATGAATGTAGCTGGCTTCATGTCAACAGTACTCAATGAAGAGGTAGGGACATCATCAACTTGAAATGAGTATCTGTCAGCTCTAGCCTGCAACATTCTTTCCCAGCCAAAACATCCGACAAAATAAACTGCTGGCTGTGGTTGGTGCATGAAGGCAATGTGCTTGCGCATGGGCTCTGAAGCAAAATCTGCTCGTACATACACTGGGACTTGCCCCGGTCGGTCACGATGCACCGCCAACAAACTGTGCATACCCTCTACGAGGGGGGTTCGGAACATCCATATTCGGAAAGACCCGGCATATGCAAGCGGCAAAAACCTCAAGAGGCAGTACACAAAGGCACGAGGATTGGCAAGGTCTTGTATGTGCACATTGGCAACTTGCTCTCGAACGATGTCCTCCGACCCAGAAACCAGGTGCAAAGCACAACGCCCTTCTCCACGATCATCACTGCATCCAGATCGGAGTTCTTCCAAGAAGGATGAAACGTCACGCTCTTGCAATGATAAGTGGACCGTGGCATCGGGACCCTTTGGGTGCAGGGCCGCCCCTGCCTGCATGAAGAATAATGCTTCAGAATCGTCTTGGTCAGGAAATGGTAGATTGAATGCTCGCACTTCTTCTACGTTGCATAGCCTATCTTCTTGATGAGGTCTAAGCCGTAGTAGAGTTCCTGTAGGTAAATTTATCGTCTGCCCTTGTAACAGCCTTTCAGGACCTCGTGGTGTGTGCCCGATTAGCTCGCACTGTTGTGTGGCAGAACACCCCCTGTCCTGGACATTCTGCAGGACGTGCTCATACATGCAGACTTCTGGGCATGCGACAATTTCCCGGCTGGCAGGTGACAACAATGTGTTTTCAAGCATAAAAAACCGGATGGGCTCATAGAAGAGCTGTCTCTCCATCATGAGGAGGTGATAGTTGGCATCACCTTCCGGTTGCTGGGCAATTGAGATCAGCAGGAAAGGAGTGGAAATTCCATACCTCCCACTCAAGTCAGCAAATCGTTGTCCCCAGTCATCCTTCAAGCATAGTGACAACAACACTCCATGTGCAGCAGGGCTTGTACCTCTTGGTAAGGTCCAGATGCGAAAATCGTATCTGTCTCCGTGATGCACAGTCCATAAAGTCATGAGCTGGTGTCTGACGGTGTCAGTGCTGGAGAAGGAATAACTGCTACCAGGTGGCCAGGGTATAGGCCATCTCCAGACATCCTGTGGTGCCAAATGTCGAAAATCCAAGCGACGAGAGGAGGGTCGCTCTTGTTGGAGAGGTTGGCCGGTGTACATGAGGGACATTTCATCCGCTACATTGCTACTCACAGTGTCTGAGGTCGTCCTCAAAGGCTCGTTTCCTGGCGGTTGCGCCCCATAAAGGTTGCCAGCAGCGTCCACAATCACAGATAGAGGCAATGGTAGGTACAAGATAGGGTGCATTTCAACTGGAGGCAGACTGTAGGAACCCCATGAATCAAGGGTGCTAGCACCTGCAGACTCACTTGTATACGAAGTTCCTCCGTCCGGCAGTCCTTCTCTTTCAGGATGTAAAAGAACTCGGAAAAAGCTTCCTTGTCTAATTTGCACCAAAATGTTTTGCCGAAGCCTGCCTTCCATTGATTCAAAACTGACATCACCTGTCAGCGGGTAGTCTCGATGTACCCAGCATAGGATATCCATGACTCTCATAGTTTGGTTCGCTACGTAGGTCAGCAAAACATCTTGTCCTCTGCCAATGACCTGAACAAGGAAAGGGACGTCCATACCGGCAGCCTCCTCCACAAATAGCAGGGTAGGAACATTGGTATACACATCACCATGTACCGGAAAAACCGAAGCTCCAACTTGCCACATCATTGGCGCAACCTCTCGACACCAGGTGGCAAAGTTGTGGTCAGTGCGATGCGGACGTATATAATCAATAGGACAGTATTGTGCAGAGGATGAAGTTCCACCTGAATAGTGCATGGCACATAAGACATATAGGTAGTCTTGCGTGCTGTACCATGGGCAGCCATTCCAATATTCCCATAAGTGTGCCATAGAGGCATAGTACATTGTAGCCTGATGCGGGCTACGTAGTGCAAGAGGCACTTGATTGCTGCCAGAAAGGCTCGAGCATTCTGCAGATCGTGTACTCAGAGTCACGGGCGGTGAAGACAAGGACCTTTGCATAAAGTCAACCACATCATCGATGTTTGAGGTGGCCTCTGATGGTTGGTGACTCAACACATGCTGGGCTTTCTGAGCTAGCCTTTCATGTCTGGCAGAACTGGAAGCCTCAACTATATGCGCAATCCGGGACCCTGCAATTTGCTCTGGGGTCGGAATCTGGAAACTTTCACATGGGAAAGAAGGCACTTTGAGTACCTCCAGCTGGACCAGTGAGGCAAAGGGTACCTTGACCTCTTGGTCATCATAAAAGGTTGCCTGACACATGCCATGCCTGTAAGTGACCAAACACCTGAAAGTATTACCACACATATCAAACTTGGCTTTACGAAAGAGCGCCTGCACAGTGCATGGCCGGTCACATCTTACGGCAAGGCGCTCAAGCAAAGACAAGAAGGAGTATTCAAGCACAAGCAATTGTCGAGCATGTTCTTCTATTTTGGATGGCAGCAGCACTTGCATCTGGCTGGGTAGTTCCTCAAAAGGGCGTACTACAGCCGGTTGTGGTACAACCGTCAAAGAACAATATCCAAAAATAAATGGATAGAACATGATAGAACCAAATATACAAAATATCTGCCCATCCCTCAAGGCCATGAATCCGGATGATATTGCAGGGCCAACTTCTTGTATGCACCTACGCGAAAAAAACGCCGGTGAGCGGAGCAGTCTCAGAGATTCGACAAAGCTCGGGGTGGATGAAAGTTCTTGGTCTACACTCTACACATTCCCTAGAGCTCCAAGTTCCCCTCCTCAGAAGGTACTTGGAACCTCCAAACCCACCCCAGACACCTCAGAAGGTACTTGGAGCCCTAGGGATTTGTATTAACATAGGGAGACCTCCCAGTTTGAGCCCCTGGAAGATGCGAATTTCTCGCCGGGGCGGAAGAGACTGGATGAGAGTGGTCCGGGACAACTCTGAAAGAAGCGGCATCTGCGGCATCTGCGGCATGTGGTGGTTCTCATCAAAAGGGGCAAACCCAGTGTTACATGGAGGTGGTTGATCAGAGGCATCCAAGGATATCAGAGGCATCTCTGACGTGACCGTGACGGTGCGATGACGTTCTGAACAGGTTTCGAATCCATCCATCTGGTGAATCGAGTGAATCGCGCTGATCGACTTAGCGAGTCAAAAACACATAACTACGGATTGTCGGGACTCCCAAGCCGTTTGTCTGGAACATAAAGGTTCACCGCTGTGCTTTGTTGTTGGATTTCAGTGAAAACACATGAGAAACCAATCTGCAAAAAGGTTATAAAGGTTATCCACTGACCGGATTGTTAGGCGCTAGAAGGGGTTCAACCAAAAACATCGGGACTCCCTGAATCTTCCAAAGGCTTTTCGCAGGTTGTGCTCTTTTTCTTTGCTCCCATGGTTCAAACCCACCACACTGAGGCTGCGAGCAAACATAATGAAAGAACATGTTGGAATGAGTTCCAGTAGCAGTTCCTCACACAAACAATCAATGTCCAGTCTTCAAGTCCTTCTTTCCTCTTGGAAGCCTTCGCCTTCACGGTCCTTTTCTTCATGAACAATGCCCTGATTTTGAGGGAGTAGCCTTCTGTGAAACTAAACAGCCTAGTCCAACCAATTTCAGGGTTGATCCCTGTCAATTTGGCAGGTATCTTACTAACACTCCAAGATGAACGGATTCATCTGTCCTAACGGAGAATCGGTCGAGTCCTGCGGCAACGAACGACGAGAATCGGCTGGCCTTTGATGTCCTTCACCGAGGCGAAGTCATCAACTTCTAAGAGCTTGTAGTAGTCAGCCTGGTCACTCCCCCCAAAATTCCATGCGCAGGCGCAATTACCGGCGGAGGCCTAGCTGCCTAGCTTACTGTTGCGTTCCTTGGGGTGGTGAACGTTCGAATATCTTTGACATGGATCATCTCGTCGCTGCTTGGTCAGCTTGGTCAGCCTGTTCAACCAAGCAGACCAAGCAGGTCGCGGCTTTCCTGAGTCGAGTGGATTTTGGTGAGTCGAAGCGACCAAAAAAACGACTCGAAGAACGGATCAGCAACACCGCTGACAAACAAGGTCAAGGACTGGAGTTCGACCTTTTTTCAATAATCAACCCCAAAAGAAAAACAACAACAGGCTCACAAGGAACATGGTGCAACACCTCCTTGGAAATCACCAGGTTCCAGGTTCCTGTCGCCATTGCACCGCCCCGCTACGTCGAGACCTCGCCGTGTCGCGAAAGAACGCGCGGCACCTTGGAATCGAACTTCCGGACGGGCGCCACCTGTGGAGGAATGGGCAGGGCAATGGGCGCCACCTCCCGCTGAATGGCTCGGTTCAGGACATGAAAAGGACGGGGTATGGGCAGCGTGTACCAAGCCACATGTCTGAAGAGAATTTGTGCTAAGATGGTGCCAAGGCAAGTAGTAAGCAAGCTACTTCGTAGCATCATCATGCCTGGCATCATGTCGAACACCGAGCAAAGGCTACTTCAGTATGAATAGCGAGTCGCTATCATCCTGAATCACCCACCGATTCGGACTGCTTCGATGGCCGTATTACGTATTCGATCGACACGTGGATGGCGTGGCATGGAGGAAAAGGCCCATGGTCCCCACTTCCAAAAGACGAACTCTTTCCTTTTACAAACAGCGTTTGTGGTTTTTCTTCCCATGGCCCATGCACTTAAATTTCACGTAACCATGTCATGATGCCTTCGTCCTTCTGTGCAGCGCAGACACTGCATCTCGGCACGCCGTCGACTGGTGCAGGTTCCCGGTGCTCTCAAAAAAACACCAGGACCATCTGTGTGAAGAAAACAGGAACAATCATGTGTCTTGGACCACAAACAAGAAAATATATATATATATAGAAAGAAACATCACACTTACCCATCATGGGTAGGAAACATGACCCTGACCTTGACCCTCCAGTAGATGACGATGGGCGGTGCATGGTCGGCATGGCCTTTCGTCCGTCCTCTTGGCTCACGGCGCTTCGCGGTCGTAACGGCGAAAACCGGGTGACCTTAAAGTCCTCCTCATCGTTCGGGTCGTAACCCGGATCAGTTCCTGGGAGGCCCCGCAAGCTTGAAGGACACGAGGTACAAACGGTTCGTTTCTTAGGTTCTTTCAGACCGTTTTTTGGGGTGGCCCGTCATTTGATCAAGCTGTGCAAGGATCTTGTTGGAGTGACTTTGCCACACTTGACCCGGTACAGCAGGAACAGACACGTCGTCCTCCAACAGCACCAGGTGGAGGCTGGATGATGATGGATGATGTTGGAACTGCCAATGATGCAACCTATTGTGGAGGCATCATGAGCATCAGGAGCTTGTGCTGAAATCGATGTTTGGCCCAATCGGCCAAAGTGAGATCCACAAAACAGTGGTCTGTGCAGCAGTGTGGAACCAAGCGGATTCCACAAAAGCCATCGAATTGGAACAGTGGTTCTGGGGTCTTGGTGTTCTCACACCCCCAATATGATCCAACCAAATGCACATCCAACTGGATTGGATAGATCCAATCCAAATAAGCTAAGAGCTTTGAAGCTGAGCATCGCTTCCGGATGAGGTTCCGGATCTTCGTCAGCTCTTCCTCCAAAGCGAGTCGCTGAACGATATGAAATGAACAGAAGAAGGTAGTCAACGGAAGGGAATCCAAGAATCCAAGATGAGCTCAAACAACAGGATTCTTGGACCTGGAAGACAAATGCTTTCACAGCGGCAAAGAGCAGGAAATCAGAAGGACATGTGAAATCATGTTCACATGTTTGAATATCCCACCTTTTCACCAACAACTTCAAGATCCAAACGCTTCGGCGAGTGCTTCACCGGCGCAACGTCCTCGATGTCTTGACTCTTCACCAAGGCCTTGTAGAGGCCCGTGTCCTGTCGATGCGTCGATGTGTCTCGTGTTTACCGTCCCGTCCTACGAGTCATATAAGGTGGCCATAGAAGACAACGGATAGACTCAAAAGGTTTTATCACGTTTTATCATCAAGCTTGATGTGAAATCATCTAAAAGGGTAAAGTTTACTTATCAAATTGGTGTGCATCAGTCATCGCCATCCACGTGAGGTACAACTCCTCTCCTTGCGTTCACCCTCGGTGTCCCCCTGTCAGTGGGGGACACAGGGTCGGATTAACATGGGGTATTGGTATCTCCTAAAAAAGAAACTTATGGGGGTCAGGGTCTTATTCTTCAAACCGAAAAGTTGCTCAGGTTTTCGATCAAACCCCACACGAGTTTGTGTCCAAGATTGTCGTGAATCTTTCGCGCTGATTGATCTCCCTGAGCGTCATGCACAGAGCTGTGTTGCAGGTCCTTTGAGCTGAGCCCCATACCCCATGACATGTTCCTGCCAAAACCAAAACCATCCAGAACCAAATTCTGTAGTCAGGTAGTCAGAAATGTCAGAAGTCAGCTAGTCACCGCTGGAACGGCTCTGCAAGCAACAAAGGAAGATCTAAGACACAAGAAAGCAAGGTATAGGGCCGGGTGCGAAAGTGGCAGCCTGCGTTGTTGAAAGCCGAGATGAATTTTGGGTTGATGACCATGGCTGACCATGGTATGAAAACTGACAAGAAAATATAAGAAAATCAAGAATTCCCAAGGGCCACGAAAGGAGCACCATGCCACAAACAAGAGACCCATGGCGTCCCGCGTGTTTTTTTGCGCGAACAAAACGCCATCTTTTAACGCGCGCCGTCGCGTTTGGTCCGCTTCAGAACACCGTCCGCCCCGCGCCGTCGACGCACAAATCGGCGAACAACAACGGGTCAGATCGCTCCACTCGTCGAGGCACCAGTCCTCCCACTTCACTTTGGGCCCCGTGTAGCAGTCCAAGTAGTCATTCCTGGGCTTCGGCCGCTCCTTCGCCTGGGTTGCTCGTGGATGCGCCAGGCTTTGTGCACCCTTCTTCGGTCCAAAAAGTCCGACGTCCACGTTGAGTCGAAAGAGAATGAAAGAGAAACACCAGGTTGTGTACGTATACCGTAGATGTGATGTGCTTGTCGTTTTGGAGGCAAGGAATGTACCTTTTAGCTGAACCTGAAGAAACAGCTCGCATCTCGGTGCATTTTTTAGGTCGTCTTTCACTTGATGCCCAGATCACCAACCACTTAAGTCAGATCAGCTTGCTGGCCAAAATGGCTGGCGATACCCACAACAGCCCGACACCAGCGACCGTCACCGCGTGCGTCGCGCGATCGCTCACGCGGTCGATCGCTCGCGCGTGATCTCGCTCGCGGGAGATGGAGAGACGTGACCCAGTGGCTGTCTGGCCTTCGAAGAAGGATGATCTAAATATTGCTTAACATATACATTACCTCATATTACCTATTGCCCATCAATGCAGCGGCTCAGAGTTTGCTAGCAAGGAAAACGCTGAAACAAATGAACAACTCGCCTGCACAGGCTCTGCGCGCATGTCCACGCATGTCCCATCAGTGAAACCCCCATGCAGTGGAGTCACCAGTTGGGCCTCTTCCTGGCCAGGGAATGCCGATGCATGGTTTTGACAGTAGCTGCACTTCCGGGACACAATCACCATCCACCAAATACACGCATGGTTCCTTCAATCTAGGGGCTGAATCGCACCAATTCAGTTGTCAAAGCTCCAATTATGATTGTTGGTGCTAGTCCTGTCCAAGTACCAATTATTATGCAAGGGGGCCTCTCTTGGCATGCGCTACAGTGGCTACAGTCGGATCGACCAGACGGACAGGAACTGCAGCAGTTCCTGTGTTTGAGGCACCCGAGTTCCACGGCTCACAGTGAGCAAAGACTGACCCATGCAGCCCGTTGAGTTTGTGGATGTGGAGGTGGCTAGCAGCTGCGCCGCTGCCCGACCCTCTTCCTTCCTCAAAACAAATGATGTCCAATATGAGTTTTTGTCGCATGTTCACAAGTGCTAATTACAGCACGGACTGGAGGGAAGCTTTTATCAATCAAGACTCTACATCTACAGATGAATCTCTGTCTCAAAGATGATGCTAGACCGGTGAGACCCCCTTATTGAATGCTTGACAACAGAGTGAGGGCGTTTTGGCCGTCTCACTTCGTTTAAAGAACCGTCCGCGGTCCGCGTCAGCGGAAGAGTGGAGTGAGCAGACTGTGGAACCTTCGGAAGCATTTGTGGATCGGCGACCTATTGAATCTATTGAAACTGCATGGGCGAGATTCGAAAAACAATAGGAAGCCGGATGCGAGAGCTGCCAATACCGCCGAACAGGTTCATCTGAGCCCTGGATGTCACTGTGTTTGGAAGTTCCCTCTACAAAAAGACGGGAAACTAAGCAAACTCTGAGGTTGAAGTGACTGCATTTGCGACCCAGTGGAGGATGTTTTTTTTGCATGTGTTTGCCTCTCGGGATGGATGAGGTTCAAGGACCAGCGGCACCCTCGAGCCTTTAATCAATGTAAGCCCGAAATCCCCAGAAAGCTTTGCCAAATGCTTTCGATGATTAGAACAACAGGAGGGATCAAGGAAGTTCTTCTACATCAGCATGTTTCAATAGAACTACACCATCCTATAGTATATCATTAATAGCATGAACATTTACAATTTACACGGTGTTTTCTACCCAAAAGGCCCTATATACCCGAATCTCATCCCATCTGCCTGGCTGCCAGCCTTTGTTTCAACGCGGGTCCGTCGGCATCCAAAAGACCAGGGCGCGAGGATCGCAAGCATCGCTGGCCGATTGGGGTGAAACGACATCCGATGGTGTGTTCTTCACATCTGAGTTTGGAACGTTGAGTTCCGAAGTTTGGATCTTACAAACTCAACGGTCCAAACTGGGTTTGGGAGGACTTAGTGTGTTTTGAAAACAGGAGTGTCCTACAAATGATAGGAAAACAGCCCCAACAAAATATTGGCCAACCGTCTTTGGGAGGACTTAGTCTTTTTGCGGACACTCGCGAAACTTGGACAATTTCACAACAGCTGGGCTTTTGAAAGATAGCAAAAACCTAAAAATATACTGCCATACACGTCCAAAAAACCTAAAAAAGATACACTCCCCAATCCACTCCCGTTTGGATCGGTCGGAACCTTCCGACGCCTCGGTCGGGCCACCCTCGTCCACTCGGGGGCCATGCCGTGGCCCGAAATAGGAAGGTCCCATGGTGCGACGGTGTGAGACTTGGGAGGTGTTTTGAGGGGGGAGGTGGGTGGAATCTGGGTGAAAGGAAACATGTAGGATGTAGGATCATGTTGGCGTGCCTTCCTTTTTCCAAGCTCCTCTCAATGGAATCTACTCAGGCCAATCTACTGAGGTTCAGCAGTGCATCGCGCTGGATCTTGCTGGAAGCTTGGCTGAGGAGCTGAACCCTTTGGCTTGGAAGAGTTCCACTTTTTTGGAAAGGTTTTTGGGGTGAGGGTGGAGTTAAAACGGACTAAACAAAACGCTTGATTGAACACCCATGGCATTCACATCATCGTTCCATGTCCCGAGTCCCAACTTAGTATACAATCTTGCTGGATCCTCCATGCTCAAGTTAAGTTGGTCCTTTCTGTCAGAAACGGCTAGCAACAGCTTGTGTCAGACACACCCATCAGGCAACAAGCTGCTTTGGCTTTCTACGAACATTCCACTGAAACCAGTCAGTCTGGATAAACCGACTGGCTCCGAGATCCCAGATATTGGTCTAATCTAGCTACGAGAAAACCTCAGAAGTTTCATAAAACTCCTGAGTTCACGATCCCCCGTGGTCATCCTCCATGATATCCTCCAACTCCTGCTGGCGCGGCTTCTGCAAATGATTGGCCGTAAAGGAGGTCAAATGCATCCAAAAGCCTCGCCAAATGCATCGAGAGCAGTGTGGGATCGAGGGCAGCCCAACGCTCCTCTCAGCTCTCCATCCACTTACGGAGCCGAGCTCGGAGCTTTTTGGGCAAATTGAGCCTGAGGGTGTTGGTCCAAGAAATGTTTCTGTTGCAAAAACACAGCGAAAACCTGATCCAACTGCGGTGAGTGATCCATGTCTCCTTTGGTTACTGGGTGCAGGAGGTGCAACCATGTGTAAGCAAGTGCAACCAGGTGCAACGATAGGGTATTCACTTGTGCATCCCTTAGATCCAAGCCATCATTTCGCCCCTCCTACACTGAGGCTTTTGGGTGAAATCTCTACCATCTCTACCTCATCCACCCCAGGTTGACTCATCCCCTCCCCTTTCCACCAGGCTCGATCAAAAAATGCACCGCGAAACACCCATCCCCACCCATCATTGTCAGAGTGACGTACCGGCTGTCCCACTTCAATGGTGGGATCCGCCACGGAGATCGACGCGCTCTTGGCACAGAGGTAGCTCCGGGATTCACCAGGTAAGCGGAACAGCATAGGCTTCCGGAAGTAGCAGGCCTCGCGTTCCTGACTCGGGCCGAAGCAACGATCCCGGATGAGGTGAAGATTGAGCGATCCAACAAAACATCCCATCCAGAATACCCGTTTGGAGCTATTGTTAGACACCCCTTCGGGCAGGTAGACGATCTAGTTTCCATCTTTGCGGCGACTGAGTTTCCGCCAAACATGTCTACCAAACATGCCTTTTTGGACCAACATTGGAAGGATGCAACTGTTTGCGATGCCAGGCCTTTAGTTGAGGGCTAGCCCAGGGCCCTCTTACAAGTAGAGGTCTCATGGTGGACTTGTCGGAGGGTGCGACGTGGAAGGTCTGCGCTGTTTCGCGATGCATCTGGCAATGGAGTGGGTTGGGAGGCTTGGGAGGCTTGGGAGTGGAGCATGTGAAGTGGCAGCGGGTGCCGTCCCATAGCCACAGTGACTCGAGGGATTGAGTAGTGTTCATTCATTCCCTAAATTTAGAGCCAAACTGATGGAGAGTCGCACGGGGCAGAGGATTCTGAAGAAAAACAACGTTCCCTTTTTTTTGCTGCAGTGGGTGGCGAGGAAGAAACAAATCTCAGACACCCACACATAAAAATGGACCCCTACTTGCCCATCATCTCTTTGCCATCTAAAAACCCACTGCTGTTAACTGCTCACCACCCGGCCGCCACCCATGGGCCGGGTCAGCTCGGGTCCCTGGCGGTCCCTGGGTCATCCGGACGTCGACATCGTTCGACTTAGCTGGGTGGCGTGTTCGGGTGGGAGCCGCAGCACGAAGTTCAGCATGCCTTCCAAACGACTGGCAACCGTTGCTCTGCAAAACATTGCGTGGTCCGGGTCCTTCAAAGGTTCCAATAGGAACACACATCCACCCTCTACTACTTGTAAGTCGCGAAACACGTGGTTTCCGGGTGCCATCTCTTCCAAAAACCCCACAAACCAATAATGATCAATAATGCGGAATTGCTGGTTTCCCCCAAAAACGCCACACCACTTTGGCCCGCGATCTTTCAGCTGATTCGAAGTCCCAAAAAATCTTCGAGACCCACAACAAGTCGACCGCACATCACAACCCACACATGACGGCGCAAATACGTGCTGTTTTCGGCGCAGAAAAAGACACGCTCCTCCCGCAGCGCGGCGCGGATCACGCCCAAACGCCCAAACGCCGCGGCTTCACGTCCCGCGCGGGCCTTCGATGCGGTCCCAATCCGTGGGGCGGATAAAGCGGCGCAGGGTGGGCATCCCCGACTCAATGGTGGCGGCCATGGATTGACGACAAAACCTCAGATGAGCCTCCTCGATGTCCAACAAGCCTCAGGCGCGTTCGTCATTTGGGATTTCAGGTTGGGTCTCCTTCGGGTGGTTCGTAAGAGCGCGGGTTCGTGCTGTGCGTGTGTTTTTTCAGATTTCGGAGTCAGAAAAAAGTGATTGCGGGCCCCAAGAACTGCGCAAAAGAAGCTGGTGGGTCAGTCTCAACCGGGAGCATACGCTCATACGCTCACACGCCATGCCAGACGTTCGACCTACTTGTCCCTACTGTCCACTCGATGGGAGGCTACAATGCGTTAGTGTGGCTGCTGTACTGCGCAATGGTCCCCTGCGCTAGGTGGGGTGGGTGGGGGGATAATAACGTTCGCTTTTGATCTGTTCTCGATCCGTGTCATTTTTGCCTCAGAGCTGAGTTTAGGTTAAGGAGGCAAGAGTTTAGGACGAATGAGATGTGAACGGGGATGTCACGTCACTGAGATGTGAGGTCAACATGGACATGGGACTGCACATGTTCTCAACATCTCTTAGTGCAGTGACACATGGGCCAGACGGTCCTCAGGTGATTCTTGGGGGCGTACATGCTAGAAGATGTACCGGAGAAAGATGTCCTGAATGCTAGAGCAAAGTAGTTTCCGGGTTTTCAGAACCACTTTTCCTGACATGAGAGGCAGTGGCCAGGAGGTTCCTCATCTGAACGCCAATGTAATTACCAAAAACTGTGTGCTTCCTACTGTCAAAACCCGTGGAAGATAAACACGTGGACCATGATACCTGTGCCTCAGACACGGCGTCATATCTGCCGTGGACCTAGCAAATAAGTTCGGCCCAGAAAGTTTGGACAAACAAAAATGTTTCATGGAATCAATAGCACTTCTTCCGCTGCGCTCCAGGAGGTGCAATGCTTGAGGAGTGCCATCGTCTTGTTTTGCTAATAGTTGTGTTGTGTCTTGAGAATCAAATCATTACATTGCTACAACATGGTCAGTACACACTGCAAGAAGCTCTAGCAGCACCTGTCTTCCACACCCGCCACATACCAAGTCTTGTGATTGCGCAGCCTGCCGGAAACCGGCCTTTGGCTAATCGAACCATCGGCAAGCCGATGAAAACTGAGTATACTGGCCAACATCTTTTTGCGTGGAGTATAATCACCAATTTGTAAACATGTTATACAACCCTACTACTGCAAGATGCCTGTGGGTTTTGGAGTCTGTTTTGGTTTCGGAGTCTGATTCCAAGAATTTTGATATGTTGGAGATACCGAAGGGCTGCGTATTTATTATTGGATGTTTTTTCGTTCTATTTTTACTGTTTTTGTTTTTCGTGTTTCGTGGCGGGTGCAGTACTTTGTGGACCTTCAAGTGCAGATTTCGTGGCAGGTGCAGGACTTTGTGGATGTTGGAGTGCAGATTTCGTGGCAGGTGCAGGACTTTGTGGATGTTGAAGTGCAGATTTCGTGGCAGGTGCAGGACTTTGCAGGCCTTGGAGTGCAGATTTCGTGGCAGGCGGCAGGCGCAGGACTTTGTGGAGGTTGAAGTGCAGATGTCGTGGCAGGTGCAGTACTTTGCGGGCCTTGAATTGCAGATTTCGTGGCACCTGCACTACTTTGTGGGTCTTGAAATTTTTGTTTGGGATTCTTTTTGGTTGTTCGTGCTTCGTGGCAGGCGCAGTACTTTGTGGACCTTGAAGTGCAGATTTCGTGGCAGGTGCAGCACTTTGTGGATGTTAAGTGCAGTTATCGAGGCAGGTGCAGTTCTTTGTGGATGTTGAAGTGCAGATTTCGTGGCAGGTGCAGGACTTTGTGGGCCTTGGAGTACAGATTTCGTGGCAGGCACAGTACTTTGTGGACCTTGAAGTGTAGATTTCGTGGCAGGTGCTAGATGGCTAGATAGGTATACAAATAGAAAGATAGACAGATAAGTGGATCGATAGATACAGAGATAGATAAGAAACAAAAATCAAAAGACAGAAAGAAAGAAAGAAAGAGTGCACCTTAAAATATTGATTTCGTGCCAGGCGCGGGTGTCGGAGATGAAGTGCAGATTTCGAAGCGCGGGGGGGGTTGGGGGGGGCGCTGCGCCCCCCCCCAGCAGCACACCAGATCCAAAGTTGAGCAGCTCGTGCTTGCTTGCTTGCTTGCTTGCTTGCTTGCTTCCTTCCTTCCTTCCTTGTTTGGTTTCTTGTCTGCAAAGCAAACAAGAAAGAAAGAAAGAAAGAAGGAAAGAAAGAGAGAGAGAGAGAGATAGATAGGTAGGTAGGTAGATAGATAGATCGATAGACAGATAGCCAAGAAAGCCAAAAGCCACAGAAGCCACGAAAGCCACCAAAGCCAAAAGCCACAAAAGCCACAGAAGCCAGGAAAGCCACAGAAGCCAGAAGCCACGAAAAAAATAAAACAAAATATAAACAAACAAATCAAAAAAAAATACACCTCCATACCGAAGGAATGATGAAATGTTCACATACACCTGCAGTGAAACGTGTATCCGTTCTGGGGTTCGTGAGTTCATCGCTACAAGTCCTAAAAGCTATCTTCTCTTCACATATCCCAAAAGACACAGGAACTCTTGGCCTAAAGACACCACCAAATCCTTCACCCCAAACTCCACGAACCCTCGCAGGCAGCTACGCCTCCCATCCCAAGTACTACTCACCGTCCCACCATGCCACTCTCCGGTCTCCGGTACCCCAAAGCAACACCGCTCCTTCCGGACGTCCCGAAAGGGGACCGACACCGTCCAAGGCTCCGGTGGCATTGCTCACCAGCAAGGTGATCTCATCAAGCTCATCGTAGGCCTCCACCACCTCACTCACGCTGCTCCGGCTCCTGGAACAAGTGCTGAGCCTATTGAGGCCCCCCAATGGTCACCACCTAGAACACTCAACCCAAAAGTGAACACTGCACTGGCCCCACCACCCCGTCAGCGTCCCACCTCACGCCACCCGCGCGGGTCCTGGAGGCGGGACCTGTCTCCTGCAACCGCACCGAGGGCACTGAGCCCGGCAGCGCGTCCGGCACTGCGTTGGCCCGGCCTTCGGAGTCTGGGTCCTCCTTCCTCGGACGGGTAGAGGGGTGTGGAAGGGACGGAAAGGGAGGGGTGGGTGAAGGGGGGGTGGTTTGTGTGTTCTAGAAGTTCTCTGGAGTGGAGTGGAGACGGGTTCCAAGGGTTGGAGTGTTCTTTCGGCCATCGAACGGTAGGTTAGTGGTAAGAGGTACTGTTATGAAGTAGCTCAGAGGCTCGATCGGTGGTCTGTGATCTCTATAGCTGGCATCTGATCTCGGTGTTCAGACGCCTTTCCGGTCAACGTGTGACGTGTGGTGTGGGGCCCGACCTGCACCCTGTCTTTAGACCAAGACACATCGCCAGCAAGCAGCAGTCCTTCCTGGCAGCACCATAATCAGGCAACATGGTCTGGAATAGATCCTCGGGTTTCAGGAGTGGCCATGATCAGCCCGGGCTCCACTATCCCCAGCCGGAGGTGGATCCGATGGATTTGATGGATCCGGCCACTGCCAGCAGTGATACAAAACATGCCTAAAGCAGGTGGTGTCGGATCCAATAGTATCTAGAAAAGGCGGGGCAGGAGTGCTGTGATAGATTTCTGCACTGTACCACAAACCCTCCCACATGTCTGGGAACAGAACAGGGTGCGCATATTCTCTTGGGAATTCGAGCAGAAGTCTGCTGAGAACCACTTTCAGTGAACGAACTGGAGAATGC